TTTTTAGTAGCCAATGGTAGAATACTATTAACAGAAAACCGAAAAAAAGTTGTTTATTACTTTATTGCCAATTATACCGCCGTCCTAAAATTTTACTCAGTAGACATGGTAACCTTATTGTCGGCGCGGCGAAATAGTCTTGCACAAACGTTGCTTATTTAACTACATAAGCCGCTACCGCTTAGGTAGGTAAAGACATAAAATATGATGTCGCTTCCTTAAATTTTCAAATCAGTTACTCTCCAGCCATTTAGGCATGAAGTCGATTTCATGATTTTTATTTTATAGTTATCGATTCATTATTGATAAAAGATGTCTCAGACATAGTCATATGCTCAGTAAATACTACATGATGTTGATTTTATTGTTTAATACTTTATAATTACATTGAACTTACTTAATTCGAAATTTATTTTTGTCATTATTATGTATTATGTATCCGCCATAACATGATAATGTATCTCACTGATGTTGTGTTGAATAAATTTATCGGCGTTGTAAGATTTGTGAGTTGTAACCTTCTAAAATGTTTTTACCTTCCACTGCAAGCGATTTAATGTTTAATTCAAAATCTCAATACTAAAAAATTATAAGTTACAGTGGAAATTGTCTCATGAAATCTATTATTAATTCCATGTAAAAAATGTTTTTATGTAGGTATGACGCGGATATTTGCTTAGAAAAATAAACGTAGTAAAAGTAGTGTGTCTGTGTTTTATTTCCCGATAATGAATACCTATTCTTTAATCAATAACATATTAAGTAGGGCTCATGGACTATCAGTATAGCTATTTCGTGTCTTTCTGTTGTGACAAAATCCGATAAATTCAAATAAATTTTGATGATAAGCACGGTGTTTCATTGTATTAGAGCATCGCCAGGACCTGCAGCGCGATGCGGTCGTTGTCAATTTGGTTGGCGAGGGGCGGGCGGAGGGGACCGATAAACTTGAGGAGCGGGAAGTGGGGTAATGACGTAACGAGGAGTGGAGGGAGAGGGGAATAAGTCGGGCGATCAGATGTATGCGTGTGTGAGTTTGGAGTGATAACACCGATGCGCGGTCAGTGACTTCTATAATCAGGGTTGTTACAGTTAATAATTTTTTTTAATTTTTATCGTCAAAAAATGCTTGGATTCGTATTTTACACACACACGCCTTTTATGCCATTTGATTCACAAGTCTGATATATACATGACACACCACGTACCTTTAAACCTTGTTACAACATTTTTCTGTAAAACACCCTATAGTATATCTAATTTATAAATCATAACTATCATATAAATAATTCTACTGTATGTGTATATCACTAACCTTAACCAATTTTAATGAAATTTTTTGTGTTTCAGGTTGATTTGAGAATGGTTTAGATTCACAATTTTTTTTTAAGTTGTGTAGTGTCCACTAGTTTGTTTGTAAAATATAAATAACATTTATGAAAATATAGTCCTCAAAACAACTCATAGCAGCACACTTACAGTTCTTACTTTATTGTTTTATTTTCTGTTTCGTGGTCAATTCGAACTCAAGTCAGTAATAAAGTATAATGTCTGATTACTTAACAATAAGGCAAATGGTTTTTATAAAATGGCATGATCCACCATCCACTGCCGTCCAGTTCCAAGCAAATTTTATCATAGATAATGGACACCAGTGTATACACTGGTGTGTATATATATATATAACAGGAATAAATTTGGTTGTTTCTTAGAAAGTGTTCCATCAAAATGGCTTTTTGTTTGAGCTAATACCTGACTTTGCTTAGTCCTTTAACCTGTTTGAAACAGAGAAAAAAACTACTGTTTGTAGTCTTCTTCCCTTTTTTCTTCTGTCCTTATTCCACACTGGGTGGGGTCTGCATAAGTCCTTTCCTTTCACTTCCCTGTATCAACCGTCATCTCAATACTCACATTTACAGATATATCATTCTTCACACAGTCTTTAGTCTTTACAAATCTCTCTCGGTTGCCCTTTAACTTTACTCCCAACGACATTAATACTCATCACTCTTCTAGTCACATGACTTACATCCCTTCTCATGAGCACATACCAAGTCTCACTTCTTATTTTCTGTCACTGGTGCCTCTTTCAAGTTTTCTCTTATATTATATTCATTCCAGATATCCTTTCTGGTCTCCATCCGCACGCATCCATCTCATCATTTGCATCTCTTCCACATTCATTTTTCTTTGATTGGTCTCTTTTGCTGCCTCGTTGTAGTTTTCAAATATAAAATATTTTAAATGAAACATACTAGTTTTTGGGTGGACTTAATGTCGCTATTATATACCTCAATTTCTGGCTTTGGGGAATCCTATAATGACGCGAAAATCTTTTCCCGCTTTAACTACTAAGAGAGAATGTAGACGGTGATGAGAGAAATATGGCCATTGTAGAAAGTAGCAATATAAAAGTTTTATAATGTCAGCAAAATCAAGGTCCAATTCATTTTGCATCGCTTTTCTCCTTCCGGTGGAGAGTTTAGAGAGCTTATTTGATGAAATAAATACCATAGCCGTCAATTAGTTCAAAGTTACATATTATTATAGCGGCATTAAACACAGTCATAGCTGAACTCCGAACTGAACAACGCGGCAGTGTACCAATACCAACGTTAGCACTCGTTCTTGCATCCTTAAAAACTCGAAAACTTCAGGACAAGCCCACTCCAAGTGTACTTTCTGTGCGACTGTGCGGCTACCAGGATTTGAGGGTAGGTAAAGTAATGTCTTGAAATTGGAAGAGATCCATCTCATGACAAGTTCTTTCATCTTTCCCCGAAGTAGCCATGCCTTAAGGTGAAATTTGGGAGCGCTTGGTTTTCTATAAAGTTCAAGACTTTTTGTGATATTTCAAAGGTATTAAGAGCACAGTATGTTAAGCAGACCACAAACAACCATTTTAGGATTTATACAGATTTTTATTTTATCGCTAGTTTCTGCACTAAAGATGAAACTTTAAATCGTTAATTCTTGTATATGAACAAAAACTTTCGGCGCTGCTGGTTTCAAACCTGCATCTTCTGATTTTGCCCAGAAGCATTACTAAGCTAAGCAGCCGCTTACAATAATTTACAAATTCACAGCTTCCAGGTGAAATTAAACTAAAATACAAGGACGCATTTAAACCATAATGAGGCCTTACAAGGGTTTTTTTTTGTGAAAAGTTGTCAACCCTGTTTAATGGTTCACCCGCTGTTAAGTGAATACCGTGGACATGTACAACATCCGATGGCTTGCAGTTACATTGCATTACAAAACCTTATAAAAGTGGGTCCATTTTACTCACACACCAAACAATACATGAAAGTTTAATACTTCCACTTCACACCAGTGTCCTGAGAGGCAGTGGTGCTCCCCCAGATGCCCCTGCCCAATTGTGCAACACCATCTGTTATTGCATGGCTGATGGCCTTAACACAGCTTGATTTTTTCAGTTGCATTTATGACTTGTTGGTATAACAGTGAGACTATCCCAATGCCTATTTAACAAAGTACTCTTCTTATTGAACCATGAATTGATAAAAAAATAGTGACAATAATACAATAAACACAGTATTAGATGGTAATTATTTATTGTAAGCTATTCAAAATATGATGGTCATCTTTGACGGTTTTGTTGTTGTTATAACAATAGAATAAATTGAATGTAGAGCCTTAACCTATGAATCACCTTCAATCTGAAATAAAATGATTGTTTCAATTACTGCAATGTTCACAAGAAATTTTATCAATAATGTTTTCATTTATATTACAATGTTCAGCATGCAGGGTGAGGGAATTTTATTACTTTCTGGGCACAGTTTTGGTATTCATAAAACAAATTGTGGATAAATGTAAAAAGATTACAGGTTAACAAGTACCAAACACATATTCTAGCACATTAACTACCATTAAATGAAAACACAAAATACTCCTCGATCGTGCAAATGCGTGAAAGTAAGAACTTTAAATTATTAGAAATGTATAAAAAAATAATTTGGTACTATAATTGTTGTTTCATAGCCCTGCCAAACATAGAACTGTAAATATAACCTGTAAATCTTGTATAAGCTTAAAAGAAAACAAATTTATGACTTATTACCATTTATCTCAGCCTTCTGGCTTCACGCTCAGATTCTAGAAGGGTTAGGATATCACCATCGCGCACCGGTCCCTTCACGTTCCTGATAATCTGGCGACTGGTTTCTCCGATAAACTCGACCTTAACTTGGGTACACTGTCCCTGAGAGCCTGTGCGTCCCAAAACTTTGACTACACGAGCAAGAACGTTGGGCTTATCCATTTTGCTTTAATTTTATTAGCGTAATCGCAAATACACGTGCAGCGCAATCAGCGTGTACGAAAAAAAGGAATTGCCAAATGAACACAGACAATAAAATAATACAGCTACATTTCAAACATGATATAGTTTACAGTGTACATTGGACAGATTCAAAGACCAAAAAATAACCGATTATATAAAAATTGTACTTTTAATTTAAAAATAAATGTCAATTCAATGTTTGTGTACAGTTAAATAATATTTATATTAAAAATATGATATGTTCTAATAAAAATGTTAAATTAATTTATAATCTTAAAATAACTATTCTTACATAATTTCTTTTTTCAGAATTGATCGCTCCGAGCTTTTTCAAGTGGAATTTAATTTAGTGTAAATATGTATTTTTCGTCAAATTCTGATATCTGATATCTATCCGCTGAGATTCTTTCGCCGGTTCTTCTCAGATCAGTTGCTTTTTTCCAAACCGGTAGAGGTGTTTTACAATCCGGTGGTTGACAATCTCTAAGTAAGTGTAAATGTAATGGATTCGAAAAAAGATAAAATAAAAGAAAAAGTACACATCTTACCTTTTGGAGGTAATTTGTTACAAAAAGAGACTACCTATATCAAGGGTGTAGCCAGTATTATTATGAATTTAGCATCATCATCATGAATCGAAAGACGTCCACTGTTAAACAAAGGCCTCCCCCATAAAACACCACAGTGAATGACACTTCACCATTTGCATCTACCGATTGCTCGCGCTCAGTGGCGTAGCGAGGTAGACAAGGGTGTAAAGAAAGAGAAAAAGTCCCACGCCCTCTTTCTGCGTAACTTGAACATTGACCGATTCCTCTCAAACTAATAGATAGGGGTAAAAAAGAATACAGTGACTTGAACTTATTCCTAATAGAATAACTCTATACATCGGCTTTACTCTTCACATGATGCTATTAAATGTTTGTTATAAAATAAATCTGAGAGACGTGGACGTTCGATTCCGCAGCGGTGAGAAACGTTTCGTCCTATTTTCTACAAATTTTAATGCCTCATCTTAAGTGCAGAGATTAGCAATATAAAACTAAAATTTTAATCTTCCGTTCGAATTTCGTTGTAAAACGATATTTGAATACGTTTCTTTGATGTAAAGATATAAACATGTATTCAGGCCATGTATTGAGATTCACTGAATATTCTTCATGATGAAGATCGATTTCTTTTTTGATTGAATTGAACCATAGGGGCCACTTCCACTTTATGGACGGAAGCTTCTGTAGAACTTAATCAAGTAGTCTCTCCTTCTCTATAAAACCGACTGGTTCCGCACGCATCTGTACGCTCTTATTCTCTTTTTATGGCCATTCTTATTCTTAGTGACTACCTTTGTGTTGAAGTCCCCCATAACAACCGTGAAGTAACTTTGGAGGCATGTATGGCTGCATGACCTTGCATGACACCCTGTAGAGCTTAACTACTTTGTTAATGTGGGGCTTATGGACGAGAAACCTAAAACCACCCTGGGATTTTCGGTCTCCTTCCCGAAAGAGCATGTACCAATTTACCGCGCAATACATAATATTGAAATATATCTACAAAATTACAATTTAAAAAATGACTTGTTAGCAGTTTTTATGTTTTTGCAATCAAAGTTACATCATTTGTGTTCATTGCAGTAAAACTATTTAATGATTCTACTAATTATTGTCATCACAAATAAAAGACTCATTGAAAATGTAACATTTTAATTAAATAATGTCTTCTCATTATCTCGAACGTTATTAAAAAGCAGTCCACACTATATTTGTTCCATAATTTACTCTCACAACACTTAGCAACTAAAAACCACACAGTCTGTACACTTGGAACAAAACTAAAATAAGATTAGGTCTGGAATTCTATAACAAGCTATTTGAAAATTATAATTGTTACGTTTTTCCATTCCATTTTACAGCCTATTCTTATTTTAATTATATCGCAGTCACACCCAGCAGGTTGCAAGCCTGTGCAAGGCAACAATTGGTGTTCCCTAAGTTTTATTTTACATTAAAATTAATCATCTCCCGCTGATCTCTTTGCTTTCCTCATGCGGGGTGACTGTTTTGGTGTTTTTGGAGATTTTTCTGCAACAAAACATAAAATATTAACGGCATAGAATTAGTTCTAGACTCTTCAAGGAATACATAGTGCTTCTGATTTTTCGTACTTGTTCTAAACTACAATTGCAATAATGTATTTTACTATCAACTAAATTTTTTACAATTATAATTATCTTTTATCTCATTTTTCCAATGGTTTTCTTATTTCCCTTTTTAATTAGATATTAATGTGTATAAATATTGTATGGTTACAACAAAAATTACCCAGAAAGAAAAGTTATATTAGTTTTGACAATTGTTCTATTTTGTTAATATCAAATAAAAAAATCGTTTTTATGACAAATAACAATCATAAATAGACTCACTGAGTTGATTAACAACTTCTTTAGGCAGCCAATCATAATCAACGTCATTGGCTGTGCCGGTTTCAAGGGGTTTGGGCGCAGCGCGTGGAGAGCGGCGACGAGCGAGCGAGGAAAGGGCTTGCTGGCCAAGCACCAATACAAGAACACAGGCAGCACCGAGGAACACATACAAAAAGAATGTCTCCCCATCTAAGCCCTCTGATACTTCGACAATGTTAACTGTCTGGTTGTACACGGCTTCCTGTAACATAATTTAAAGAATATATTGTCAATTCCTATAACTTAGCATTCTGACTAGCATCTAATTGGCTTTATTATTCATCAATTCAATTATAAGCTTACATCATATCACTTTAATCTACATCTGTACTCAAATAACTCATATAAAATAAAGTATAAAAAAATTATATGTAATCACTAAAGGTCAGAAAACAAATACAAACCTGGTAATAATTCCCACTAGCATCCCTGTAGTTGAGTTGAATGTTTAATCCAAATGGACGTCCAGCGAATGCTTCATTGGGTATAAAGGAATAAGCAAAGGTAGCCTCTTGCTTTGGCTTCACTTCTCTGTTGTAAGGCAGTGCTGTGAAGTTCTGGATGTAATAAGTGTAGTCCAAGGGGTATCTGAAGGACGCTTCCATAGTTTCAACAAGGTAATCATCGCTACCTTTGTTGATGAATCCAACAAGGAACTCCACAGGAAAGCCAGCTTGGAGGTCTGTTAAAAGTGTAAAAGTCATGACGTAAACTTTTACAATGGCATGGGTTGCTTATTTATCCCTGCATTTCCAAAGATTGATTACAAAATCAAAATCAAAGCTGTGATGCCCCTAATGTGTACCACTAATATTTATAATCTTAACTTTTTACAATAATTAATAATTAGTTCTCATTAGTTAATCAGGCATCAATGTTTTCAAAGAAAAAAATATAAAACCTAAATACAAGACATTAAATACAAGAAATTATCATATAAAATCAAATTCAATATAATTTGGTTTTATATGATAATTAAAAACTTATTGAAATTTTTTGTAGATAAATGAAAAAAAAACTTTCAATGCTGTGAGATTTAAAATTGTCTTCTGTTTTCGCAACCAGACGCTTTACCAGCTATACTTAGTGGCATTACTAAGGTTAACATAGCATAATAAAACAATGGGAATATCTTACCAAACACATTATCGCCATAGCTGGGAATGGGCTTAGTGAACAGTATGGTAGTATCAACGTCTTGCGAAGATTTGATAATAGAGTCATCATCATCTCCAAGGGCATCATCTCCTACCACCTGGTTGTCCTCACCCTCAATATCAACCACATCATCCAGCTCATCTTCCTCCGCATGAGCTAGAATTGTGTTAGCTGGAAATAGAGTTAATTTGTCTCTTAATTAACAGGTGGTGACAGGACAGATGTAACATCATTCACTTATGCATATGTTGTCAATGATATGTGGCAACAATCCACACATGCATTTTTTATTTTTTATAAATGGATGTTTTATCTTATGGTCTCATTACGGATTCTTCATACAATTATTATAGAATGACGCTAAATAAGTGTAAAAAAATAACAACAAGCATACAGTATTAATAAATAAATATCAACTTATGGGTCAACTTTACTTTATGAATTTTTTGTTTTAAAGGCTGATAAATGGATATGAACACTTCAATAGTGAAAATATAATTTTACGTAAGTTCACGGTATAAACTTTGTACCTTGGATAACTATGAAGATATCTCTAAAAAATGGTCGATTTTTAGAGAATTCAAAAAAAGTTAAAGTAAATAAAGCGAGTATATGAAATGTTGAGTACATAAAACATCCCTAATAATAGCTTTCACTCAAAAATATCTTAATTTAATTGCCACGTACATATACACTGAAACTTTCTCATAAGATTTTTAGAAAAATTTTATAAATTGCTTACCACTTTGGAAACACAGTAAAGCAGCGGGTAAAACCAAGAAAGTTAAATATAAAAACTTCATTTTTAATTATAAGCTTCTTGTTCTTTGTCGAATAATTGTAACTAAACGTTCTGTGTAGACTATAAGGCCATTCACTTGGCAATATGTAACAACCACCGCCGCTGGACTTCCAAACCAATGCCAATTTTATTTCCAACTCGATTGACGTGGAACGTGTACTCTGTCATTAGTGACTTCTCCCAATTCTATAATCGGTAACAGAAACCGGTAAAATAAATATATGTATATTTTCATCCATCCATTAATCAGATTCGACAAAGAGATATGCTAAATTTTCAGTTGTTTAAATATGAATATTGTTTTGAATTTAGATGGTCGATTGAAATGACAATTTTTTAATTTTCTAGAGGTATAAATTTATTCTACGTACCACTACACGTACCTAAAAGCAATGTATGTAATTTGTAATTTTTTAACAATATTTTATAGACGTGTAAGCCACAATTATAAAAAGAATACTATTTGTTGAGTTAAAAAATAACAACAATTTAAATGCGAGGTATGATATGATATAATGGTAGGTATATTATGATCTTTGTTTGATGTCAAAATATTTCTAGACATCACCTCTATCATATATATCCCTTAACCTTAAAAGCTTTAAATCTTATAAGCTTTTGAAGCTTGAGGAAATCTTGTAAAGATTTCCTTGTAGAGATTTTTAAAGAACTGTTAACAAAATCAATAAATAAAATTTAGAATGGGTTTACCGGCGGTCTATCCGAACCGTTACGACCTAGGAACCTTCAAGAAGAGAGCGTACTCGCTGTGATCACTTACCATCAGGTGAGCCTCCTGCTCGTTTGCTGCTTTTTTCCCATAAAAAAAAAAAAAAAAAAAAAAAAAAAAAAAAAAAAAAAAAAAAAAAAGTACGAGGGGAGGTCCTTTTTCCTTGATAGACTCCTTTAAGCGTTCTAATAAGGAAATGTAGTATTGGCCTGTTATAGGTTATTTTCTCGATGATTTCTGGAGTGGTGCTCCTATTGGCCGTCCAGAGCGATACTAGGGGCATAGTCCCCGTAAACTGCTAACATCTCATGGGAAATAGTTAGAGGTGATTTTTAATGCTTGGCGCGGTATTCAATTTTCTCCATGGTGATCGGTTTCTTCCCGAGTGATTTTTTCACTGGACAAATATGGTATTTATACTCTTAATGCGTAGTTTTACTAGTGACCACCTGGATTAATTAAACTACCCCCACCAACCTCTTCTTTCCGCGAAATTTTTGACCACCCTTCGAATATAACCACGCGACACTACTGCGAATTGGCGGAGTTTACATATTCTCGAATTTTTTTTGTTATTACTTCGAAAATATGCAGATTTCCTCACGATGTTTTCCTTCACCGCTGAGCACGTGATAAGTCAGAACTTAAAATTACCAATTTCATTGGTCCCAGCATCGGGGTCGATCCCCGGCTGCTCGAGTACATTGAATTAAAAGCGAGAGTCCGGACAATGAGCTATTACAGAAAGATATCAACAACTTAGAAAAATATATTCGTGTAAATAAAGGTATGAATGTTTAAATTATCAAAACATATTTTTTGCTGAAAATGCAGTAAAGAGATTAGTTACCTAGATGCAGAACTTTTCGCACTGAGTGGTCAGAAGCTGTGCAGTGAACGCTTACAAGTTTTTGCGTAGCGAAATTGGATCTATTTTTTTCGATTCGGATTTTTTACACAATGTTGAACATGAGCTAGGAGTGCTAGGCGATGGAAATTTGCAAAAGAATATTTACTATATTCTTTTCCAAATTTCCATCGCATTACTTAAGAGAAAACAAGGGGACATTAATAGTGGAGGGGAGGGTGTTATTACGATTACTCAGAGAAAGATTTTTCAGATGCACAAACTATATATTTTATTAATTATTTTTTTTATTAATAAAAAAACGAAGAATTTGAAATTTACTTAATCGCTTTAGAACATTTGCCTAAACAGATTGCAATGGTAAGTTGTTAAGATTGCAAAATATATCAGGTGCTCGTAAGGAAATATCGTCATCGTAAGTCTAAAGGTGCCTTTTCACTATCCTGCCTGGCAGTCCGCCGTGCAGTCCACCGCTTTATGCAGGGTTGTGAATGGTCTTGCAGGCCTGCAAAGTTTCTGGCAACACCGAGCAGGACGCGTCTTGCATCCTGCAAGGGACCTGCAAGCTCCGCCCACCGCTTGCATGCAAGAAACGGTTCCATGTGTTATTTGACATCCTGATTTGTAGTAATCGTCTTCCCATCTAAAAAATTACACTATCTACCTTTGTTGATCAATTTTGACCTTTTCTCTCTGAGTGAATTTGAATGATTTTTCCCGTTCCAGTAGCATAATCTTTTTGTTACATATCGGCTTTTGAAGTGGTTTGAGCCGATTCATCTTTTTAGTTTGAGAAGCACTAATCACTTTAGTTAATGCTACTACATTCTGTAAGAACACGTTGAAACTATGTGTCAAGAAAATAGCATAGTATAAATTAAACCAAGACGTTTCATGTGATCACGAACAGTTGAACGACAAATTATCCTCAGAAGTGTCACGGCTATTATTCGACGGTTCTTCATCAGCTTCAACGTTCCTTCCAGAACGTGGGGCATCTTCTACATCGAAATTGAATGGAATTTTGCGAAAAGAAATTTGCATTGTCCATCGATCACTACACCTTCTTTATTTACATGATATAATTTTCACCTTGCTTGAACTAGATCTTTACTCTACTTTACTTAAAAGAATAATAATTATGTAAAATAAATGCTGCTTTCGATTTTCCATATTTGATAGGGTAGAAAACAAAAAGTATTGCACAGAATAAAACAACATTAGAACATTATTTTTTTAACAAACATGAGTTCCGAATAACTAATTACTTTCTATGTAAAGGGATAATCAGGATAACTTGGCTTATACAAGCTAGTGAAGCTACAAAATATGTTTTAAAAGCGGTATTTAGCCCCTATATGTATGCCGATAGCGAAATTCATGAAAATGGTTGATGGTCATGTGGTCAAAATTTTGCCCCATTAACATTACATTTTCATTAACAATAAACGAAACAGACTTCAAATATATGACCAACATGGTCACTGTACAGTGTACATTCTCTATTTCGATTTTGAACAGTTCCCCGATGTATCTCCAAAGTCACAAGCCCAATACAAATGAAATTAATGTTGGACTAATATAGCTCGGGACCAAAACTGAATTCAATACAAAAAAAAAATTAAAATCGGTTCATAAACTACGGAGTTCTGAGGTAACTATACACGTCCCACTGCTGGGCAAAGGCCTCCTTTGTACAGAGGGTATTATTGCATAGTCCACCACGCGACCACACTACGGATTGCCGGACTTCACATATCTTAGAAATTTTTTTTTTTTTTGTTACTATTTCGAAAATGTGCAGGTTTCTCACTCTGTTTTCCTTCACCGCTGGGAACGTGATAATTCGGCACTTAAAATTAACAATTTTATTGGTGCCGGCACCGGGGATCGAACTCAGGATGCTCGAGTCCATTGATTAAAGGTGAGCGCCCGGTCACTGAGCTATTACGGTTCATGCATGAACACACGGTTATCGGGCCATAAAATAACCATTTCGGACACCCCTATTATGGATTTTTTTTTTATGAGAAAAGTTTCAATGACCATTTATTTTGTGATTGACGGTGTTATCTCATAATTTTATATTGCGGTGCGTTGTCTTTTTTATTGTCTTGTCATATCAACAATTATATTGTTAATCATAGGCACAAAAGGATCTTCAATTGTTTTTCGGGTTTTGACTTTTCGCATTATGACTAGTAATTATTGTTATCTTAACCCCGTATGAATAGTAATTAATGTTATCTTAACCCAGTATGAATAGCAATTAATGTTATCTTAAATAAATATTACAGCTGTTGCATCTTTTTTTTTATTTAAATTGTGACTGCAATACACCAATAGGGTAGTCATTGGTTTAATGCAAATTTAATGAATATTTTCATAAAAATAAACATTTATGTTAATCGCTAATGTAAATCAGTGTTGCGGGTGACAACGGTCACGTTATCTACTCGATTGTTCAGTTTTGACTTCGTTAGTTCCGTTCCCCTTGCTTAACCGTGACATCGTTATGGCAAACGCAGGTTTTACTTATTCTATAAAACAAATATGTTGATTTAAAAAGGAAAAAACACAATTATCGAACATTTCGCTTGAGTCAATGTTTAGTTTTATTAAGTATTAATTCGACGTTTTTCGACCTACCTATTTAAAATCTATGTTCAAAAATACCTTAACTATTTTGTGTATTTAATAACAACCGTCCCAAAATAATATAATCGAGATATTATTTTACATATTTTTTGTTACGATCTTCGCCGGAATTCAATTTTCAATTACGTGTCTCTATTAATAGAGTTCAATGTTTCACAGCAGCAAAACGTCATTTAAATCAATTCGCCCGGCGTTTTAGTGCTTCAGTGCAGGCTCCGCGATATAAGTTCGCGCCTAAAAATTACACGGTAAGTACTACACCCAAAAACAAAAATTCAATCTTCAAAAGATACCCTGTCATAGTACGACAGGGTTATGTGGGGTTCGTACCCACTAAAACCCCCATGGTAGCCACCTTCTGTACGTTTGGAGGGACTCCGGCATCTTCTACTGAACGCACCGGTGTCCCGCGGTACTGCGCATGAGCACGCCTCGGAAAGGGATAATCCTTCCCCGATTCCCTCACCATCTTGAAACAACTCGAGACCACATCGTACTGCTGCCAATCCGTGTCCCCTTTTACGACAGGCAGGGTATACCTTGCCCCTATTCTATGTGCCCGAGGCGACAGGGTTGGCCTTGTTAAACAGTTAAACCCTATGGGCCTTTAGACCTTGTGAAGACGTCCACAATATACAAGTTTATCTTTAAGGGACCTTCGCTATCTAAAACGGATACCTTGAAGTCGCGTCACATACCGCCGGCCGTTCTCGACATATACAGGAAACCACTCGTCCTGCACCAGGGGAGCATGCAATGGCTGTACGACCACGAAGGTCGAAGGTATTTGGACCTCTTCGGTGGGATCGTCACAGTTTCCGTGGGGCACTGTCATCCGTAAGAGTTTATTTTTTAAACTAGTAGATTGTGGTTAAGAAACTCAGCCTGTTTGCATATAAAAAGGAATGTAATAATGTGTGATTATGAGTATTATTATTTTTCTGACATGCTATAATTAAGTTAAGGGGAATCCATTAATAACGTGAGATAATTTGGCGTAGCGAATTTTCGATGAGGCTATTAATATAGTGTATATTATGTGTATTTAGCCATATTGTGTAGAGAAACATTTTTTTTTACTTAATTTAACCAATTTTTTTTTGGTCGACATGAAAACGCCTAATGTAATTAATGGACCAAACCCAATAAAAAATAGAAAAAGTATTTTTTTTTTATAAAATTGTCTGTAAAGTTGAAATTAAACTGTGGTAGGGATACTAAATAAACTTCAATTACTTTTTTACAGAAAAGTTTCGGAGGCTTTACACCAGCAAATTGACACGCTATGGCATACAACCAACATATACCGTCATCCGAGACTTTATGAATATGTTGAAAAGCTCATTGCGAAATTCCCAGGAGACCTTAAAGTAAAAAATATAATACTTAAAAATAAAAATATACGTAGAGTGATTTTTTTTTTCGGTAAAATACGATCGAACGACGAGCGATACGACGAACTAATATTTTATTTACTCGATTACTTTTACTTCCTCGATCTGTAGATTCTTTAGATAAATGTTTCCCGATATTATAACCGAAAACTTTTGTAAAAAGTAAAGGAAATGGACCACCACGCGGCCCCACTGCGGATTGGCGGACTTCACATATTTTCGAAATATTTTTTTTGTTGTTATTTCGAAAATATGCAGGTTTCCTGACGATGTTTTCCTTCGCCGCCGAGCACGTGATAAGTCAGCACTTAATATTAACAATTTCATTGGTGCTAGCACCGGGGATCGAACTTCGGTTGCTCGAGTAAATTTAATTAAAGGCGAGCGCCCGGACACTGAGCTCTTTATAATTTTCACTAAATTATATTACATACAGGAAGGCTTTTCTAAGTCTTTCTAGACATAAATAATGTTATACAAAAAATGATAAATATTTAAAATCACTCGTAATTAATTAATTACATTCATCTGTACTTATCTCAAAAGATCATTCATTACTAACACGCACACAAGTTCGTTTCAAAAAGTATACGACGCCTTTATGAATTGACTACCGCATTGTCAACAAGTTTTGTTTTTTAGGGAATAGAATGGCATTTTTTTTTAAAAAAAGTTATTTCAATAAACGACTATACTACCGAGTCTGAATCTCCTGTGTGAATTTGGGCACCTTTAGAAAAGCCACCCTGTATAGTTTTCTCGTTTGACAGGTCGTTTACCTCGTGAACAGCGGTACGGAGGCGAATGACCTCGCTGTGGTTCTAGCGAAGGCGTACACTGGCAACCATGGAATAATTTCCCTGCAGAGCGCCTACCACGGCTGCTCTAGCGGCGTGATGGGCTTAACCTCGACCCAGGGTTATAGGCAGCCGATGCTAACGCCATCTGGTTTTTACAACGTGAGACGGACAATATTAATTAACCTCTCTGTGTGTTTGTTTCGTAGTGAGCACAGTAAAATGAAAATAGCAGGGACTAGATTGATTTTGCACTAGCGATTCGCCCTGACTTCCCGCCGGTGCAATGTATAATAAAACCAACATATAAACCTTCCTCTTGAATCACTCTATCTATAAAAAAAATCTGCATCAAGATCCGTTGCGTAATTTTGAAGATCAAAGCATACATAGGGACAGACAGACAGCGGGACGACTTTGTATGGTAACCTACTTACGAACTTATGTATTAACTTTTATGTAAAACTCGACGTCTCATAATTGTTTTCTCATGAGAGTCTATTTGAATAAAGATATATTAAATTTGAATTTGAGTTACCGGAATACGTATCGTTGGAACCAACTCGGTGGATCGACGTCACCGTGAGAGTCGCGGGCAAATGATGTAAAGTGCCCAGTCAGATGACAGCTACCGATCGAGCCGAGGTCCGGCTCTCTTGGCCACCCTCGAATCGGAATGCTTAACGCGTATTGAGTGACAGCCCAAGCCGAGGACCCCTCTCGGGGACCCTTGAGCCTAGTCACTCCATGGATCGTCCGCCAAAGCGCCCTAAGAGCTTGGCGGCCTCCCAAACCGGTGATAATAATAGCGTGACGGCCCGAGCTGAGGCTCCCTCGGAAGCTCTCGAGCTTAGTCACCATAACGCGTAATAATAATACGCCGAGGTTCAGGTTAGGCGCCCCGAGCGCCAGGACACCTCAAGTCCGTCGGATTTGTAAAGGCATCGTAATTCCGACAGTGGCTCATCAAGCCAAAAAAATGTATTTCTAATTTGATGTAGTTTCATTCCTTGTGGCGTAATGATGATGACCGACACATAAGAGCTTGTATTTAAATATAATAATGTTAAATACGTGTGTTCTTTATTATTATTCAGGCGTTACTGCCGGATCCCTACCGAGGAATTTGGGGCGGATGTAGAGACTCCCTGTCCCAAGTCCCAGGGGCCTGTTCGTGTCCCGGTGACTGCGTAACTTCTGATAAGTACGTGCACCAGCTCAGCGAGGTAAGGAGTTAACAATATAATATCAATTACGGTTCTGTCTGTATACGCTACGTGCTACCTCTCCTGTGTAAGAGAGAACATTTGTAGCGAGAACGTTTTCAGTAATGTTCTTATATTTGGCTAAAAATAAACGATATTTTTAAAACATACTTTTAAAAAATAATGTTAATTGAGCATTCTATTAAAAAAAAATATATTTATTATTTTATTTCGACAAGAAATAGCTAGAAAAATATCAATTCAAACATAGTTTGTTTATCCCGATAAGAGTGGTCACCCTATTGATAAGCGGTTTAGTAATTATGCGTTCAGCGAACAGTTTTAGTGCTCCTGAATTGGTTATTGTATTGAGATGGTAAGGCAGGAATATCTAATAGGGTGTCCATAATAGTAGTACCAAAAATGTGGTAAAAGAAACATTATGAACGCACACCTATTTACATAAATTGTTAATTAATACATATAACTTTTCTACACATTTTATAAATTAGAAAAAAATTACTATAAATTGTTCGAAACGTCGGCAATTTTAATCTCTGCTCGGTTTGTTTTTTTTTTTTTGTAAATCGTGTATTTTGTAAATTACATTTAGATACAAACTACTGAGTAATGAAATATGCATAATATCTTTCGATCTTACCGACCTAATAATAAGAAAATATGAAGTGGTGTTTTTCACAAAAGAAACAACTTTAAAAAAAAGGGAAAAAAATAACGAAATCATCTGGATCAACAAAAAAAAAAATAAAGAAAGCAATGATCTGGAATCGAAAAAAAGTAAAAAAAGAGTGTGTAAATGATCGTGACACGAACAGAGAAAAACACGGCCGTATGTTTTTGGGCCGCCCGATTAACGACCGAGCTATTATAACATTTATTTTTGCGGCGAAATTTACCGTCATATTCGAATGATATTTTCTAAAAATGAAACCTAACTAGATCGATTTTTTGCCCCCGAATCTACACACATACTAAATTTCATGTAAATCGCTGGAGCCGTTTCCGAGATTCCGATTATATATATATATATATATATATATATATATATATATATATATATACAAGAATTGCTCGTTTAAAGGATAAGATATATAATCGGAATTTCGCCGCAAAATAAAATGTTATAATAGCTCGGTCGGTAATCGGGCGGCTCCAAAATAGATGGCCGCGGTTCGTATCACGATCATTCACACACTTATTTTTTTTACTTTTTTACAGATCATTTTCTTTATTTTTTTATTTCCAAAATACATGATTTACCAAAAAAAAACGAGCAAAGGTCCTCGAGGTCCTCCAGGTACTATAAAATTAAGCGCGATAAAATTCGTTAAATATTTATAGCTGAGTCGGTGGATTATTTTCTAGCTGTTGGACAACTCTTTGCCCGCTGGAAGAGTGGCTGCTTTCTTTGCGGAGACCATACAGGGTGTAAACGGTGCCGTTCAATTCCCGAAAGGTTACCTACGGAAGGCAAAAGAGGCAATCAGGAAGTATGGCGGCTTGTTCGTCGCTGACGAGGCAAGTGCCGCAGGCGTCGATTTACTTATTAACACCGACTGTTCTCAGATCACGGTAATAGCATTGGATTATTGCCGGATATTGGCCGGAACATTGCATTTTATCACTTTATTATAGATTATACATTTACGCCTTACGATCTTGGTTATCTTCAATAAGTGATGCTTAACGATCAGCTCTGAACATGGCTCTCGATCCATCGCGTCGGTTAAGTTCAGAGGTACTCACAATTTCATTCCACGGGGTTGAGTTTAAAGAACTTTACGATGAGTTCACAGGTGTTTCATAACGGCCGTTTTCAATAACCCATCTGTAAATTTGGTTACTGGAGATGGAATTTTGACGTAAGTGTTATTAAGCTAATGTCAAATACCTATCGCTAGTGAACAAATCCACAGATAGATCGCACATTGAAACTAGCCGTAGGGCGTCTTGCCTTCAAGAGGGCGTTGATTACGTGACAGGTTCAAACCGGCTTCGGGAGGACGGGCGACGCGTTCTGGGGATTCGAGGGGGAGGGCGTGACCCCAGATATAGTCACAATGGCCAAGGGAATAGGGAACGGTTTCCCGATGGCGGCCGTGGTGACCACAAAAGAGATAGCGGCCGCCCACGCCAAGTGCACGTATTTCAACACTTTCGGCGGGAACCCACTAGCCGCTGCCGCTGGGAAGGCTGTTTTAGAGGTAGAACTTCAAATTTTCAAGTCTCAAGTAATCAAAACGGCGTGTTTATATTTATTAATTTAATTCAACTTTATGCACAAACTAGTACAAAGTCTGACTTAATGCCAATGGCTTTTTCCCCAGTCAATCTTAAGTGTAGAGAAAGCGAGGGTGGTGCATAGATATAAAATGAAACGTGAACGATAAAAGATTATTCACATTCTAAATAAATATATGTAAATATATTTTATTGTGCTCTCTTTTAATGTTTTAAATATTGTTTTATGAGAAAATCTATATTCTGTAGAGATTGCTTTGTCGGAAATCAATTTCCATAAGTGCATAAAAGAAACACGTTGCCTCGTATGGTTCTATATAAATATATAATATGTCTCAGATAACTTATCTGTATTATAATTTGAAAAACTCCTCCAGACTAAATTAATTTCAGGTTATTGAGGAGGAGAACCTGCAGGAGAACAGTAAGGTTCTCGGGAAGTACTTCGTGGAGCGATTGATGCAGCTGCAGAAGGTGTTCCCGACGATCGGCGACGTGAGGGGCAAGGGGCTGATGCTGGGCGTGGAGCTGGTCAAGCCGGGGACGAAACAGCCCCTCAGCAAGGACCACTTCGGGCGCATTTTCGAGACGATCCGGGACCTAGGCGTTTTGATAGGACGCGGCGGACGCTGGGGCAATGTACGATTAACGCATATACTTTTTTCATCTGAGAAGGTGGCAAGCGAGCTGGAGGTTCACCTGCTGTTAATTGATAACCACCGCCCGTGGACATTTGCAAGACCCGTAGGGTTGCAGACGCGTTGCCACCTTTTAACAAAGGGCTCCTATTACCTCACTCACTAGACTAGACGCAGAAGTATTCTTCCACTTCAAACCAGTCTTCTGTGAGTTGACCTGACCGTTCGTACAACAGCGAATACTGTTACGTGGCCCTATCACAGTTATGACAGACTAATTTATCCCTTTAAATTACCATTCTAATGTGAAAACAGTTGGATATAATATTATAAACATTTTGTGAAACAAAAATCAACTTCGCAGGTTCTCCGTATTAAGCCCCCGATGTGTATTAATAAAGACGACGTGGACTTCACCATGTCCGTACTAGAAAAAGCGCTGAAGAAGAATGAAAACGTAAAATAAAGAGTCTCCCTGACGTTTTAACTTTTTATTATCTACAGTATTTTTAATACATCAAGATTGCTAAGCTCTTTGAAAAATAAAGACGATGGAAATAGAATATGCATTAATTTTTACGTCTTTTGATATTTTGTGGCAGAGAAACAACGATTAACATTTGCGATTAACATTAACATTAACAGCTTGCGGCTCTAACAGGCTAGTTCGAGCGGAGAGAGCCCGACCGCACAGAATATTGAGGTTTAGTTAAAGCATTGCATACTTAATTTTTGCGTTAGTGAATCCCGATGGGCAGTAGGTGACAATCCCCTCCAGTACAAAAGGGGCAAAGGATAGGCGCGTTTTATTTCCAGCGCGTCTTACGTGGAGGAAAAAGGGTTGCTCCCCGAGTAGCGGCTGGTGTTGCGGCCAGCGCTGGTAGGGTCGCGGAATTATGCGAAAGTGTTGCCGTAAACTCCATCGGTGCCAGTCCGATATACCCCATCCTGGGCAAAAAAGAAACAAGCGGCCTCATCATCATCATGTCACTTGTTCAATTGACAAACAATCAATAGCAGTTCCGCGGCACTAGTTTCGACCGTTTTATATCTCATTTAAGGTATTTGCAATAAATAATAAATAAATAGACAGGTAATTTATTAAATACTAACACTATTTGAAGTTTACTGAGAGATGGAACTGTTTGTTTTAGGGCATTTAATCTGTTCTCATTTATTTATATTGTTAAAATAATACATAATTACTATACATAATTACTTTACTTAATTACGATGGAAATAATTGTGGTATATGCTTAAGATATCTCACGATGATGGCGTCCGGGCGCTTGCTTTTAATTTATTATACACTAGCGATCCGCCCCGGTTTCGCAAAGGTTTATACATATAGACCTATGAAGCATATATATATATATATATAACAAAGTTTTATACTATGTAGTGATAAATAACTTGAGTTTGAACTGTCACCAAAAAATATATTAATTGTAATTTTGCTTCCAATTTACGATGTTCTCACATCGCTAGGAACCTGCATATTTTCGAAGTAATAATATTTATAAAAAATAAAAATAAATATCTAAATAATATGTCTATGATTAAAAAAACTAAAGAAACTCGACTGCGATTACAAAAAAAAATGTTTAGAAGACTAACATTTTGACAGAAAAAACTACCATTTTGATTTTTATAATTTTAATATGACTCCCCGCCAATCAATTGCCAACGTGAAACAAAGGGTGGCCTGATGTTAAGTCATTACTGCCACCCAAGGATACCTAGTACCTACAACAACTGAGGTGCTGCAGAGATGGCCCTACCCACAGCGGAGGGCCCAAACCCGTGGGTTCTGGCTACCCCATCGGTTCTGCGTCAGAACCAGCTTTAATAGTCTCGGGACTGAAAGCAAAAACATCAGTTAATACAAGATACAAGAGGTGCTGCAGATGCTCTTCCAAACTATAAAAACTGGGCCCCGTAGGTAGCCCATAGTCCACACACACCAGGCGAAACGTGAAAGTACTTGTTGTATATTCTGTAGGTACACTTCTACTCCACACTTGACTTTTTTGACGCCGTGATACTTCCTCAGACGAGCCGACCATTCGTGTAACAGAAGAAACTGCTTCTAAAATAATAATAATTTATACATATAATAAAAATGTAACTGATCGTTGTCTGTACATCGAAGATATTTGAGAAAAACTATTATTGGGGGGTTAACTCTGTGATCACAAGGGTGAAGACCGGCAGTGATCACCGATTGGTGAGAGGCACATTGAATATTAACATCAGGCTGTAAAGATCTCGTCTAATGAAGTCCACACTCCGACCATCTCGTGCCCATATCCAGAACTCCGAAAGCTTTCAGCTCGAGCTACATAATCGCTTCCAATGCCTAGAAAATTGCAGCACGGTGGACGATATTAACGCTAAGCTCGTGGAAACTGTCCATGCCGTGGGCCTTAAATTTTATAAGGCCCGCCGGACAAATAGAACCCAAAAACTCTCTGATCACACTCTTAACCTCTTGGGAAAAAGACGTGAGATGCGGCTGCAGTCTTTAACTGACATGTCAGACTACAGGCGGCTTAATAGGCAGATCTCCAAATACATGCTGCGAGACTTACGCAACTTCAATACAGCCCGTATTGAGGGAGCTATAGAGCGGAACCTAGGCTCAAAAGTCTTCGCCAGAGATCTGTCTATCGGACAAAGCCAACTGACTAAGTTGAAGACTGACAGCGGGGCTATCATCTCCAGTAGACCAGAGGTTTTGAGTGAGATTGAGAGGTTCTATCGACAGCTGTACACATCGTCGTTGGAGCCATACATGTGTGAGTAACGACCCAAGAGCAAAGCTTATCCGACACTATTCCGAGAATATCCCGGACGTCAGTCTGAGCGAGATTAGAATGGCTCTTGACCATCTTAAGAATGGTAAAGCATCGGGAGAGGACGGAGTTACAGCAGAGCTTCTGAAAGCGGGTGGAGTACTACTGGTACTTGTAGTCCTTCAGAGGCTCTTTAATTCCGTCCTTCAGGGTGGTGTTACACAAGAGGCGTGGAGCAGAAGTGTGGTGGTGCTGTTCTTCAAGAAAGGCGATAACGCTCTCTTGAAGAACTATAGACCGATATCCCTTCTTAGCCGCGTCTATGTTCTATTCTCAAGAGTCATATTGAATCGTCTCGCTTCCAGACTCGACGACTTCCAGCCTCCCGAACAAGCCGGATTCCGAAAAGGCATCAGTACCATAGACCACATACACACCTTGCGGCAGATTATACAGAAGACCGAAGAGTATAATCTGCCCTTGTGCCTAGCGTATGTGGACTATGAGAAAGCCTTCGATTCTGTCGAAATTTGGGCGGTACTCCAGGCTCTTCAGCGGTGCCAAATTGACTGTAGGTATATCGAAGTGCTGCGGTGTTTGTATAACAAGGCTACGATGTCCGTCCAAGTACAGTCCAGTAGTACAAAACCTATCCAACTGCAGAAGGGTGTAAGACAGGGTGATGTCATATCCCCGAAACTCTTCACCGCTGCGTTGGAAGATGTTTTTAAGCTTCTGGACTGGAAAGGACGAGGTATTAACATCAATGGCGAATACATCACCCACCTTCGATTTGCCGACGATATAGTCATCATGGCAGAATCGCTGGAGGACCTGGGTGCTATGCTCAATTACCTCAACAGTGTCTCCCAACGGGTGGGCCGTAAGATGAACATGGACAAAACGAAGATCATGTCCATGTCACGCCTATACCGGTTGTTGTTGGGAAGCTCGAAGTTGTTGATGAGTACGTTTACCTAGGACAGTTAGTCCGGCTAGGTAAGTCCAACTTCGACGCAGCGGTCAATCGGCGAATCCAACTCGGATGGGCAGCGTTCGGGAAACTTCGGCAAATCTTCTCGTCGAATATACCTCAATGTTTGAAGACTAAAGTCTTCAATCAATGTGTGTTGCCAGTGATGACCTACGAAACCGAGACGTGGTCCTTCACTGCTGGCCGTATGAGGAAGCTCAAAGTCGCTCAGCGAGCTATGGAGCGGGCTATGCTCGGTTATTCTCTGGGTGATAGAGTTCGTAACGAAGACATCCGCAGTAGAACTAAGATAACCGACATAGCTCAGAGGATTAGCAAGCTGAAGTGGCGATGGGCTGGCCATATAGCTCGTAGAACCGATAACTGTTGGGGAAGAAAGGTTCTCGAGTGGCAGCCTCGTACTGGCCATCGCAGTGTAGGACGACCCCCCACTAGATGAAGTGCAAATGTGCAGGAAGTCGATGGATGCAGGTGGCTCAGGATCGTACTTCATGGCAGTCTATGGGGGAGGCCTATGTTCAGCAGTGGACTCAAACAGGCTGAAATGATGATGATGATGATTATTGGGGGCCTTTATCAACGCAATTGAACCCAAAACAATCATTGTTAAAATTTTTGTCTGTTTGTCAGTGCAGCTAGCTTCATTTAACATTTGTTGTTACTTTTATTTAAATCGGTTCATAAATAAAAAAGTTATACCAATTTAAAGAACCACATTAAAGATTTTTATGATAAAATGCTATATAACAGTTGAATTGGATGAAACTATAGTTAACTATATATCATGGTCTGTAAAATGATGATGATTGTAAGTTTATATAAAGTTTTTTAAACCGACCAAGTGCGAGTCGGACTCGTGCACAAAGGGTTCCATACCATTATCTATATAAACGTCCCACCAGCACTGGGTAGGTTAAAATCCTAACTAAAAAAAGCTTTGCGAAAACATGATGTATACATTTTTTTTTTGTACTGTTAGAAGGACCTTGAACCCAACTTCCTTGGGTTCGATTCCCCCTTGCATCCGCTTAACAGGAAATCAGCCACGAATCAAGGAAAGCGGTGGGGCGATATCGACCTGAACCGCACTTGAAAGTATTTTTAGTAGTGATGGAACGGATAAAAATAAGGGGATGTTGATACCCGTTATTAATATTACAAAACTGAAGAGTTTATTTGTTTGTACTCGCTAATAGGAACTACTGGTCCGATTTGAAAAATTATTGCACTGTTAGATAGTCCATTTATTGAGGAAGACATTTAAAGCACAATATGAAATACAATACAAGTGAGCGGAGCCGCGGGCGAAAAGCTACTTATAATAATATATTCTTAATACTTTATAGAAATAACCTATTATTGATATTCTATCTGTTGTTATACAAATCTAGTTATAATATAACGTATAGTTATAATATAACTAGATTTGTATCATAACAACAGATCTTTACTTATATATTTATATAAGTAATGATATAACAAGATAAATATCGTAATCTCATTGTTTATTGTTGTATAATTTCTTGGTCCTTGCCTTTTGGTTCTTCCGTCAATAAAAGGAAGATAATGTCAATGTCATTAATTACAGCATTACAGCTGTTCTGTTATTATGAGTTTATGAGTTGTTTAATTGTAGATATTACAATTTTTAACTCATAATTGAGATTTTCGATTTGAGAAGTTACTTCAGTGGTGTAACATAATGGTTTTTAAATGTCAAGAAAATAGTTTTATGAAAGAGGTAACGAAGATAAACCTATGATTTGTAATATAGGTTATGATATGAATGATATCTGAAACAAATTTTTGATAATTTTTTAAATATGTTTGCAAAATTCGTAAACTCGGATACAGATTTTGTTGATTTCATTTTTATATACAGCTTTTGTTATTCACAATATAAAATAAAGGGGTGTTCTTTTTCCTAAAAATATATACAGATATCGATATCCTAATTGCATCAGGCTCATTTAATTTATAATCGTGACAAATTATCTACTTGAAAAAATCCAATTCTGGCTAATAGGAACTGACATTTTTCATACTTTTACAGTACAAATCTAAAGTGTTAAAATGCGAGGAGACCAAAGAGCCTGTTGTTGATTATGGAAAGGTTACAAAATTTGAGGGATATCAAATAACTTTGGAAAATACAGTTCTATTTCCTGCAGGAGGGGGACAGGTATACTGTTAATGCTTTTTCCTTTACCAAAACGAACGCCCGGTTTCCGAAACACGGATCATCGTAGAAGTCAACTAACCAACTGTCAAATCGCTTTTCAAATGTTATTTGAGTTGCCAAAAGGATTGTTAAATAGGAGGCCTAAGGGTTAGATTTTTGTACTAAAATTTGCATGGTAGACAGAAAGGACACCTTTATTTTTTCATTCTTTTTTCTTTAAAAAAAAGGATTACCTTACCTTAATAATAAATTGCTAAAATGCCAATTTTTAAAAGTACACTTTAGACTTAAATGAAAAGGACATACATATTAGGCAATGGAGGACAGGAAGCCAAAATATGGAAAAGTAGGACATGTCTTCCTATAAATACCTTCTGGCAACCTTTACAGAGATCCAGTTAATTATATCACATGATAATAATTTAAATTTATGTTAATTATATAACATGGTGAAAGCAATTAATCTTTTTAGCCTCATGACATTGGATGGTTGAATAATATTGAAGTGTTACAAGTGCTTCGTAAAGGCAATGAAGCAGTCCACTTCACAAAAGAGCCTATTGCAGTTGGCACAGTGGTGTCGCAACGGGTAGACTGGGAGCGGAGGTTTGACCACATGCAACAACATTCGGGTGCGTTGTTGGTGAGATAAAAGTCGCATTGAAATAATGTTTGTTGAAGATACCATAATATGTCATATTACAATGTTAAAATCTCTTTTTGCTACATTGCCTCAGAAGGAAATATGTTTTTAATTTGTCGTACTTATATACATGTTGGCCAAGTTCTTTGGCCTACACTGCAGGCTAAATTATTTGATACGTTTTAATGTTGGTTAAATAATGTTTATTCAAAGTTGGTGTTATTACATTAGTTATAATGTGAGTGATATTATTGTGAGAGATAATATCTAAAAAATATAAAATTGAGTTTATTGTTTTTAATTTATGTGCTTTATTTTTATATAGGACAACATCTTCTATCAGCAATTTTAGAAAAGGAATATGGATTGCCCACCACCAGCTGGTGGCTTGGAGCTGTAGAAAGTTATGTGGAATTGGATACAACAAGTATTAAAGAGGATATAATTCATAAGGTGGAAGCCAAGTGTAATGAACTAATATCCAATGCTATTCCTGTCAATGTGAAGTTTTGTAAAGCTAATGACCCTGATTTAGATGAGGTAAAATAGATTTTTTGTGTTTTAGGATACAGTCATGATGTTTAATTAAAAATTGATATTTATACAAAGTCAATCTTTCTATTTTCAAACATTATTATTGTTTATAGCTGACAAAGAATATTTAAATCTCAGAAGAATTTCTCTTTGTTTTCACACAAATATTATCAGAAAGATTTTAAATAATATATTTACTTTTTTTGCAGGCACATACTAGAGGTCTACCTAAAGACTGTATGGACACTATAAGAATAATCTGCATTGGGAATATTGATGAAAATATGTGCTGTGGTACTCATGTCTCTAATCTAAGGTTATCCTTTTTTTACTTCAATACCATTTACTTCTATACCTATATGTATTTTGTAATTGGTAAATTGCAATGGATTTGATAGAATATGTATATATTTTAACATAATTTTTCAGTCAACTACAAGTGATTAAACTAATTGGAACAGAACCAGGCAAGAAGGGAAAAACAAACTTGAAATTTCTTGTCGGCAATAGAGTAATAAAAACATTACAACATATGTTAGACAGAGAGAGATCCCTAACAGCATTATTAAAGTAAGTTAAAAAAAAAAGATTAATTTTAACTCAATAGTGTAAATAACTAATTGTTACCCTCTCATTGTTCCACCCTTATCCCACCTAGTTGAAGACAGCCCAACGTGTGAATCATGTTGTGAGTGGTTTCGTTTATGTTTTTACAACCGGCCCCCTGCGTCAACTGACGTCAAACTTCATTGGGAACTAACACAGTGTAGGAATCAACTTCAGGATTGCTGGTGCCAATGTCAATTGTGTAGCAACCGAGCCACTGAGATATCACTGCTAATTATGAGACTATTACAGCTATTTAAAAACTGTTTTGCCTATGTCCTGATTCTTTAACAATTTCTTAAAATTGAAAAAAAAAGTCTTTTTAGAATGGTTTATTCTTATTTTGAGGAGAAATATAAATAACTTTTGAATAGCTTAAATAAAGGTTAACCCTTTCTATTTTATTAATTTGCTGTTAATAAAAAAAAGTAAAGAAGATATAGAAAGATGCCACTGCAGGGCAAAGGCCTACTACAAACAGATGTATGCACATTATACCATAAATAAATACTTTGAATTGAATTGACTCTTTTTTTTCAGAAATGAACCCAATAAACATGAAGAATTAGTGTCAAAATTGCAGAAGAACCTTAAAGTATCAAATAAAAATTTACAGAATGTTTTATCAGAGCTGGCACAGTTGGAGGTGGAAAGAATAAAGAATGCCCATCCAAAACCCAAATATGTGTTTATGAGCAAAAAGGAGGCCACACCAGAATTCAACAGAGCTATTTGTAAAGGCTTAGAGGGAGAGGGAATGTTTATATTTTTAGCATCAATTGAACCTGATAAGCCTAAAGAAGGACAGATTGTAATACAGGGTCCAGAAGACCACTGCAACGCATTGGGTAAACAGTAAGTACACATTTTTGTCTTTCACCTCATCATTATCCACATTCACCAAGTCAAAAGTGGCAGGTGATTAACGCACAAGAAATATAAAAACTTAAATTGTCTTTTATTTCTGACCATGCCAATTAAATTTCTATTTAGCTTAAAGCATTGTACACATAATATATGAGTCCCTATTAATACTATACAATATGTATGTCTTTATATAATTTCAGAATAACAGACCTGTTAAAAGCAAAAGGTGCCTTCAAAAATGGCAAGTTTCAAGGGAAAGCCAGTGATATGTCAGGAATTAATAAATGCAAGAATTTAATTGAACAATATTTTACTAATGTGATAATAAGCACAGATAAAGAATAAATGCAGTTTTGTTTTTAAACCCTTTAATTTATTCATGTGTGTATCAAATATTATCATATTATAAATTTACTTTCTGATGATAATTGAAGTATAATTAACACAATAAATCAGAAATAATAATCTCTTATTGATTAGACTCGTAGATAATCATAGATCTTCTTATTGAATTACTATGGTCTTTGAAATCATTATTCCTGATGGAAAAAAAATTATAAATTAACCAATTACTCCAATTTAAGAAAGAAAACAATACTAACAGGTGACTCATATTTAAAACTAATATTCTATATAAGAACTAAAAAAAGCCATTCAATATAATCTTCACTATGGAAATATGATGAAAATATCAAAGTTATAACCATTTGTAAGAAATACTACATTAGTAATTTTAATAGTACATTTAAATATGATTTATATTACAGGTTGATGTTCTTATGCTATTAAAAAATAATAAATATATGCAAATTATTAATGTTACATAATACTAATAATTACATTATACTTTAACTGGTTCTTGGGGAAAAAGCAAAAAAAATATCCGACAAAGAGGCTTACAAATGTAAAAATATGTGGAACACTGCACTTTTTAGTGAAAAAAGTTTAATAATTTTTGTATATTTTTAATAGTTATGTATTCTGTTTACTATATTTTTATATAATATACATTCTCAATATTTTCTATTAGTCTTAAATTATATCAATAATCCTTTTCTTTACAATCAATGGTGTTTGATGCATTTATACTGGCTATGACTTTTTCAATACCTAAATTTGTCCAGTCTTGTGAGAGATCATCAAGATAGTTGTCAAAATCAACTAAATCTTTTTGCACTCCGGCCTGTAATAGATGCGAGACTGTCTCTAAAACATATGGAGTCTCTGAAACATACAAAACCTATCAGAACATTCTCATAATGCCATGGATAAATCTGTATCAAATAGCAAAAATTAACTTACGAAATAACACCTTGTGAACATCTTTTGGTTTCCATTTGCCATCACAATATTTATGTATTTTGATTGCTGGTGTGTCTAGATGTTGCATGACATTTTTATTGTCAACCTGTAAAACAGTTTAGGAACCACACTTAGCTACTATAGCCACATTTTAATTAATAATATCTATTATTATAACAATCTTGTCATAGAAACACTGGGTTGGGTTTTGAAACAAGTCGCCCGAATTCAAGTACACTGTAAGTTTGGGGGGGTTAAGGAGGTTCGTACCAATCACTCTAACGTATTTTTTTCTGCTGGAGACGCGAAAAAAATTTAATTAGCTATTTTTTAAAATTTAATAAGCTTACAAAACGTGAAATGGAACGTAATTTTGATAAATTTCAGTGTGTTTTCGAAGATGCGAATAATAAAAAAATTTTAAACAATAGAGAAAAATCACATAGAATTAATCAACAAGCAGAAGTTTCCGGTCGCATTCAGTTTATGAGAAAAAAAAAATATTTTAAACTTGTTATTTTCACTAAGAAAGTACGCACATTTTATTAATTTTAATAAAACTGCATACACAGTACTGCCAACGAATAAATATAGTATATAACGAATAAATATATATATAACGAGTGTACCATTTGTTTGATCAATGACTCACCACATCACCCCCCCCCCCCCCCCCCCACCCACCCCCGGAACCCCTACGAAGGCGACTCGTTTCAAAATTTTACCCGAACCACTTACCACTATAAAGACAGCTGATGGAAAATGCTCCAAAATTTTCTCAGCAATCTTTTGACCCGGACATTTTTCAACTGTGTTGTCTTTGAAGTTCTCACATGCAGCATAATAGCCGGCTATAATACGATTATCTGCTTGAGCTACAGTGTCTATCTGTGAGAGGGATACAAAATGAAATAATATCAGCTATTTTTCTACTCTAGTACTTCTACACAGCACAGATATTGTATCTTCAAAGTGAACAAACCTGAGTTAATGCTACTTCTGCCATGGGTGACAAATAATGACTGTGATGGAATAAAGGCACTGAGTCCACAATATCCAAGTCTTGATTTTTGACACCATCTCTAATTTTTGTTCCGTCTGCTAACAGTACTCCGTTTACGGCACAATGAGGATATTTAGCCGCATGAAGAATAATCTTTGCATAAGCAGTCGTCTCTAAAGAAACTTCACCCATTTTAATTGAAGATTTAATTAAAATCAAATTTTTGTACAGTAATATATCTATTAAAATTCACAGACTATATTAAAATTACCACAGATACAGAATACGGGGAATGACCAACTATTATCTCTAACCCAGTCCAATAACTCTCCATGAAATCGTTTATATTGACACCCGGTTTCTGAAACACTGATGCCCGGTTTCTAAAACATTGATCATTAAAAAGATAATTCTGGTCAATTCAGATAGTTTAACCATCCTTTTGGCAACTAAAATGAAATTTGAAAAGCCATTTAACAGCTGATTAGTTGAAATCTACGATGATCAGTGTTTCAGAAACCGGTCGTGATCATCATAGAAGTTTATTTAGTAATTGATTAGTTAAGCAACTGATTAGCAGCTGCTTAACAAATCAACTATGCTTTTCAAAATATGTTATTTGAGTTGTCAAAAGGATTGTTAAACTCTTTGAATTGATTATTCTGATCAATTCAGAGAGTTACACCAAGGGCCATTCAAACCTCCATTTGAGTGGACCTTGGTTTGTGTCGTGCCCACCTTGTTTTACGAATTTTCAATCATACATTAACATGTTTTGTCGATATACAGGGGAGCGGACGGCGTCATCTTGCCGCCGTTGTGCCTCTGCTACGTTTTATTCCTGTATCTGTGTTTTTCTGCATACGGAATGCGGACCTCTTTTGACGATGCTGTCAGCTACCGGGATAACAGCGTTTTTTTTAAAACGTGCCAAAATTGTTCTTATGGCGCGTTTGGAAAAAGTAAAAGTTTCAACTTTTTACGATGCGCGCTCACACGGACAGCCAAAAAGTGACATGATGAAGTTAGTTGCAAAGTAACTAACACTTCAGGATATTACCATGGCAAAGAATAACACCTTTTGTCATTTATCTATAATCTTGTATCTTGTATTAACTGATGTTTTTGCTTGCAGTCCGGAGACTATTAAAGCTTCATCTGACCGGTGGGCTAGCCAGAACCCACGGGTTTGGGCCCTACGCCGTGCGTAGGGCCGCGCATGGGCTCATGCGTGCGTTTAACTAAGCGTTTAGCTGTGGGTGTAGTGTTATCCGGCAGGACCAGTGGATCCGACGTATCTAAGTGCCCTTCCTCAACCGTTTGTGTCGGATTGGTAATTTGCTGCGCTTACCACCAAAGGGTTGGAATGATGTTCGGCTCTATCGAAGAACCGTTTGGTCAGGTCTTTAAAATATTCGCGAATCGTCGGGAGTCTGCAATCGCTGTGCAGATCGACGTTGCGTTGATACCACTGCGCACCGGTGGTACGGCGGATGAACTTATTAACTTATTTTTATCTATAATACCATGTTGTTTAAATACACCTTTATCAATTTTATCAATTACTTTTTTACAAACAAAGAATACTGGTAAAAGGGATAACATTTTAAGTTATTTTTCTTTTGTTAAGCTAAAGAAGAATATTTTTTTAAACGCGCTCATAAGTACCTATCCACGTACATATTATTTGTGACAGTTCTCCCGAGGAAAAGCTACTTTGTTCTCCCGGACCGTCTGCTCACGGACTAGGGAGTCCACAGTAGCTGATGCACGACGAAGACACGAAGACGTCGTCAACTCAACTACACTTCGCAACCACCTTGCTAGCGATAGGAGGCTCCAAACTCCAAACATGAAGGTGTGCCGTTGGTTGGCTAATAAAACTATATATAAGTATAATAAAACTAATAAAACTATATATATATAAATAAAACTATATAAAGCTGGCAATAAGCAGACGTGTCATACACGTCTGCTTATTGCCAGCTTTAACTGGGGACTACCTTGCATCACGTCTCTATACATAATTATACATTTATGTAGAGACGTGACCATACTTCACTTTTTTTTAAATAAACAATAAAATTACAAATGTGAAGAGAAAAAAAATGCATACATAAAAAACTATTGTACATAATTCTTTGCATAACCATTAAGACTTATTACACTAAACTGCGAATTTATACTCCTACAACTGGCGGTGTTATAAAACTTTAAACGTTGAATCGTACAACAGGCTTTACGCATCGTCCAGATCGAGTTACTTTTCCGTCGGCTGACGTTATTGGTACTTTGGCATCGCTCGGCTTATTCGGCGTGTCAGCAGATTGTTTCGTATTCCAAACGCTGGCTTCACTCTATCTATACTAACGACTTTCTACGTGTCTCCTTGTATTAATATAAAATATACGTCTGTTTGTCTTTGAACGGACCGGTATATGGTGACGTTAGCGGCTTAGTAACTTTATCCACGCGTACGAAAACATGTGTACACTCTATTTGGGATGCACAAATATTTTGCTTTGATGATTATCTTTCTTAGATATACTAGCCAAACTATTAATTTTCTTCCGTAAATCTTGCACAAATAATTGTCGGTAGTTTCTTGCTTTGTCAGCTCAAAGAAATCTCCCGGAATCTTAATGCTTTTCCGTATTCTGTGTCATTTCTTAAACTTTCTCTTAGTCCTAACAGAACGGTTGGTAATTCTGATACCCAATTTTCTGCTTTTCCTCTACACATCTGTTTTAAGGGAACGGTGTCATCTCTCTACTTTTCCATTTGACTGTGGATGGTATGCGGTGGTTCGAATCTTTTGGATCCCCATTCTTGTAGATAATTCTGTAAACAGCAATGACAAGAACGATGCTTCCTGATCAGTTATTAGGTATAGTGAGGTTCCGAATCTCGCAATCCAACTACGGTCTCAGCGGTAATATCCTTTACGGGATAGACTTCTGGCAAACCAGTTTTTCTATCCACCATAGTAACGATATGTCTATACCCGTGACATTAGCTCAGCGGTCCGTATGCACATGTTCGATACGGTCGCTATGTACATACGAAATGTCCATGTAATATAAAGTAATATTTGCCTATGTATTTTTGATCTCTGACAACTTATGCATTCTTTGGTCCATAGTCCGATGTCTTTATTAATTCCTCTCCATATATAACTGTCTTGGTCCTTACGTGTGGTCGAATATCGGCTTGCATGATATTAGCGTCTAACTCTATGTTACTCATATAAGAACTTTATAGAATTGACAACATTTCTTTTTCTTAACACCCCTAAATTTTAAGTTAGATTGAAAATAGATACAAAAATATGGTATACGTATTTTTTGAATTAATTAAAAAAAATTTTTTTAGGCACGAAAAATAATAATCAAAAACAACTCAGTACAAAAGGGCGTAAGTGCAAACTCAGGCATAATACGCAAGCAGTTCCTTTGCCTAAGTAGTCATTTAAAAATATATTAACAGTACGTCATCTTCTGTCCTCTGTCATTGTGGTACTGTCAATATGTAATTTGTCACACGGTGTTTGTTGAGGTTGTAAGGAACTTCGAAGTGTGATTTTTTGTGCCACTTGCATTAAATTGCCACTTATCTTTTACTTCGGACGACAAAAGGATTCTAGCAGCCATAGAAAATACAGACAAGATCCATTAATATCTTGCTGTGTGCCTTCTTGCAAAAACACTGCTTTGTTGTCGCCCGACAAACACTTTTTTCCTGTGCCTCATAAAAACCGATCAGAATGGTGTGCAGCTGTTAAGAAAGTTAATGTACCCCAAAGGTTCTATTTATATATGTGAAGACCACATTAATGTAAGTATCTTGTAATACTTCAGCTATCTGTTGCTTATTGGGTTATAGAGGAGCAGCTTCTTAGCTGATGTGTTGAAGTTTATAACCTTATAGTCTGTCTTTTCACTGATCACAGTTTTTTAAAGTTGACTTCAATAAAGATACTTTTTACAGAACCGCATGTCTTGAGTTTTTTAGGTATATTTTTTGCTTTGCTATTAAAAACACGGCCATTTATTAAAAAATATGTACTTATGTGAACCTTATAACTTTATTTTCTGTGTTATTTAATAAAATATAACACACAACCTATTGATATGAGTTAACTTTTTATTCAATATAAAATAAGTATGTTGCAAAAAGTTGGAAAATGTACTCTGGTAGGTAAGAATTTGATACATGCTTATTAAATTGTTTTGCTCTTTCTAGCTTGAAGAAGACTTGTCCAATTATAATAATTGGAGAATGGGTGTCAGAGGAAGGCTGAAAGAAAGGGTTCCTGACATGAAAAATATTGAAGTTGCTGAGTTACAACAAGATGTGCCTGAACTACTTCCAACTGTAGTGTCAAAGTATGAAAATAAAGGGGTTTTATGTGTACCACAGTGTAGTCATCAGTCTGTACAAGTGAAACCAGTTAGTGTGACTCGCTCCACTGTGACCAAGAAAACTAAAATTTGTGTTGTACCAAAAGAGGAACAAGTTTTAGTTGCAGAAGAAGAAAGTCCATCAAATGTTGGCACTACCACAGAATCTTCTGAAACTGAAAGTTCTACGATTTCAGGAGTTGAAAAGCAAGATTTGCGTGGAAGATTTTTCTTATTAAAATTAATCAAAGCTAAACCTATGAATTATCTAGGAATAAAAACACAGTTTTATTGGATTATTGAATACTTAGGAAAACACTGCAAAGAAATATTATTGTAACTCTGTATAAAATTAAAAATAATGATACTTTTGCAAAGATAAGGGATATTTTTCAAATTTCTTTAGTTTCTGTGTGGAGAATCTTTCACAAAACACTCAAAGTTTTGGCTTCATTTTTTAAACACCTAGTGTATTGGCCTTCTGCAATAGATATAAAAAAAAATTTACCTCTAATTTTTAGAACAACACATGAGTACTCAGATATTCAATCAATAATAGATTGCTTTGAGATAGAGATTGAAAATCCAAAAAATCCAGTACATCAATCTCTCACCTGATAGGAGTTACACCAGATGGTTTCATCAACTTTATATCAGAAGGATATGGAGGACATATATCTGATATGAATCTTGTGGAACAAAGTGGATTCTTGGAGACTATTCCAGATAAAATGCACAATTTTGGCTGATAGAGGTTTCAAACATTTGGAATCCCTACTGTCAAGAAAATCTGTAAGTGTTCTGCGTCCTCCAAGTGTAACGAAAAACACTAAAATGACCAAATCTGAAGTGATTACTAGCAAAGTTTTAGCCAGTTTGAGAGTCCATGTTGAGAGGGTCATAAGAAGAGTGCGTTTGTACAAATTGCTAAAGCCTCACTCCGTTGTAAATAATAAAATAGTATGTGCATTGGATGATGCAGTTCTAGTGTCTTGCGGACTAGTTAATCTTCAACCACGGATCATTAAATCTTATTGATTTCAAATATGTTTTTTGTTCTATCTTTACTATTTATTGTAGCGCTAGTTTTGTAGGTTACTGTTCTCCTTAAAGGAATTGTTTTATTCGATGTTATGTTTACCTTTAAATGCATATATACAATGTTTAACTTAATTTTTAAGTGCATCACATCAAAATAATAATGGTTTCTTTATGTACTTAGTTGGTAAGCCTTTTTAAATAAATAAATGTAGTTGTGTCCCATGCAGGCCACTTCCAACTGGTCATATTGGAAATCCTTGGGGGAGGCCTTTGTCCAGCAGTGGACTTCTTGCTGCAGAGATGATGATGATGAAAACCAGTTTACAGTAATTTTATAAAAATAATGAAATTTTGGGAAAGGAACATTTTGCTACTAGGGGACATTTTGCTACTATGGGACATTTTGCTACTATGGGACATTTTGCTACAAGGGGACATTTGCTTCTAGGGGACATTTTGCTACTAGGGGACATTTTCCTTCTAGGGGACATTTTGCTACTAGGGGACATTTTGCTTCTAGGGGACATTTTGCTTCTAAGGGACATTTTGCTATTAGAGGACATTTTGCTACTAGGGGACATTTTGCTTCTAGGGGACATTTTGCTACTAGAGGACATTTTGCTACTAGGGGACATTTTGCTACTAGGGAACATTTTGCTTCTAGGGGACATTTTGCTTCTAAGGGACATTTTGCTACTAAGGGACATTTTGCTACAAGGGGACATTTTAAGATGAAGTAAATGAAAGTTATGTATTATGTTATATTGTACTGTATATACCACATATGTAAACAAATAAGTAAGATTTTGCAGATGTGAAGAATAACCCCAATAACAACAGCTGTTTCATCTTATCATTTCACAATAATTTCATGCCCACTGTACATACATATTATCATGTCTTTATCCCTTGTGGGGTAACAGGTCATAAGACACAAAAGCCATGTTAAGTGTGTTAATGGCTGGCTGTACTTATTATTAAAAGACTTCTTTTTAATAATCCATGTATTTTTTTAAATAAAAAATTTTGTACTTGTATCATAGTGTTTATTTATTTAAAAAAAAAACAACAAATTAGGAAATTTTCAGTTACATTTTTCAACTTAGGTTGACACTTGTGCTAGCCATAAGTTTTGGAAATATGTAGTTTTCCCAAAAAATTTCAGCTTCTTGTAATAATTTTGTTACATATAATTTATCAAAATATAACCAATATTTATGATAAACTTTATTGATCTCAAATTCGGGATCAGCAAGACAAAACAATGCTTTTTTTTTACCTGTAGCTAACATCTGCATTTGAACCTGAGCTTTATATTTATCAGTGACTGTATTATCTTTGACATAATTTTGCATTGTTTTGTCATTTAATGGGCATTTGACTTCTATGCAGAAATCTTCACACAAGCCGTCAGGAGAAACTCCAACAAATGGAGTAACCAGTGTTAATCCACATGGTTCGACATTCATATCAAAATCTCCTTGAATTTTTTTTAATACTTCAGCTTCAAGGCGTTTTCCCCGTCTAATGGCTTTGGTTTCTGGAGTCTTATAGCCAAGCAATACTATGAAGACTTGAAACTATCAAAGAGAAGCAATCTTTTAAAAAAAACATGTGAAAACATATTGTGATTCATACTTATAATAATAGTGTATTTGTAAAATTCTTACCAAAAATTACTGTGACTAAAGTTCCATTAGTGGGGCACTTAGTTGCTTCATAAATCTTAGAAGCCGTTATTCGACATTGTCTTAGTGTGTGCCACAACATATTGTCTGCTTGACCCCTTGTGCATTTCTCAATACTTTTTATTATTTCTGCTGTCAAAAAATTCTCTGCAAATAGTTTCAAATTTGCTACATTTAAATTATCAGTACTTTGAGAATTAATTTTGCATTGTAGTAATCTGTTAAATATGCTGTATCTGTCTAAAGTTTTTTTTTTCACTATTATAGTTGACTATCATTGAGTCCCCCATTTTCCTCTTTATGCATTCTTCTGCAAATGAACTGCGGGTAATGGTTGGTGGCAATGGTATGGTTGATTGACCCTTCTTTTTCACCATCTCCTTTGCGAGCACAAACTTGTCCTGAGTAACAGCCACAGAAAGCTTAGGCTGAGCCCAATAACAGGTTTGAGATGTCACAGAGGGCTCATCAGTGCGTCTTATCAACCACATCAAAAAACAGATTGTATGTTTGCAACCGCCCTCACTTGCTGCACAGTCATAGCACTTTGCTTCTAATATTCTATCTTCTGCCTCTTCTATCACTGCAGCAACAGTGTATAATTTAGTACGCACTCTATGTTGGGGGGTTACTCTGCCCTGTACCAGACATAAAGAATTTTCTCTTTTTACTTCAACATAGCCTACGCACTTTTCGACATAACCTTCTCGCGAAGACATCAGGACCTTGGTGCCTCGTATTTCAGCTAAATTGAAACACTCGTTCTCCCTCATATATTCTAATAGCATTAGATAGTCCACCTTAGGTAAATTTCGGCTATCAGCCATAGAATATCCTTCGCTAACCTTCATGTTGTTATTTTTTTATTATTATATAAAGCTTTCAAGCCAAAGAAAGCGAATTGGCAAATTCAAACAAAAACCTGAATAATTTTGAAAAAGTCAAAGAAAGCGAATAGGTAAATTCAACGAAAACCCTGAATAATTTTATAACCTCTCTCAAAACAACAAACTTACATGTCAATCAGATGTCAATGTCAATATTCAGTACATTAATCATTGACAAAACATTTTCGCTCTTTTGATAGCAGGGTAAGGCACAGAGCTAAATTGTGCCTGAGATTCCATTTTTGGCATACTTTTCAGAAATTATTAATTATTTCAGTAAATACTAATCTAAAAATTCTGAAAAAAAAATATATTATTTTGAACGCTAATATCGCCAAACGGTTTTCTTATTTTCCTTCCTTAGTAAAAATGAAATGTTGTCAATTAGAAGTTCTCTGGGTTTCGTTACTACGCTACAGCTCTGGCTAAAAGGTCTTGTTACCTAGCCATAAAATCTTTAATAAAAAAAACGCTACAGCTGACGACAGTCACGTCAGTGTCACAGTGTCAGATTGACCTTAGTAGTGTTTAAAACATTTGTATTTATGACGCGCGGGAGACGTCATCCGAGATGATGACGGATTTTTGAAGTTTTTATTTGCCTATTACAATTTTAATGTGAATATTATAAAATTGAGAATTTTAAGAATAACTTGACATTGGCGTAATTGTGATAACTCACAAAGCAAGCCATTAATAAAAAGAAGAAGAAGAAGAATTTGTATTTATTATTTGGAACAAAACAAAGTTCATGGAATGTTGATAAAATTAAATTAAGCTTTTATTTTACTCTTGTCATGGATAAATACGATATATCCCAGCTAACTGAATTTCCACGTTTCGAACCAGAGTCTAATCAGAGTGGTGTAACTACATTTTTCAATAAGCTATGGAAATTACCACTATTTTCTCCAAATGAGACTTCGGATGATCCTGAAAGTAAGACCGTGGCGGAGAGGAAACAATCCGATGTTCAATCAAATGAATCCAGAAAGCAGAGCTATGACGACGGTAGTGCAGAATCTGGAAGTTATGCAGTCGAATTCGAAGGAAGGAGTTTGCCGAATGTTTTGAAGAGAATAAGTAGTCTTGTAGCATTGGGTTCTGGGGTATGTTTAATGCTTAGTCTTTATTTCCTGTGATTCTTACAGAAGTTTGAGAGGAGTTGTTGACACTGATATTGCAATTTTCTTATTATAATCAGGGAGGCACTCGGTACGCAGATACTGAACTTGCTCGTTATTGGATGCCAGATGATATCTCAAGAGAATGCTATGAATGTGCAGCTAGATTCGGAACGCTGCGTCGTCGTCATCATTGCCGAGTCTGTGGACAAATTTTCTGCTCACGTTGCTGCAGCCAACGAGTTCCAGGTATATTTTAATCCCTGATTTTCCCATCAATTGTGTGGTATAAATATTGTAAGAAAGACACACACACAGAAGTATATCCAATGTCCCCTTTTACATAATAGTTAGTCATAATTTTATATGTTTTTGTTAATTACACCAATTTTATATATGTTTTTTTTGTTTTTTTTATGTGAAAAGATGCCAAACGAGCAGACGGTTCACCTGATGGTAAGTGAATACCGCCACCCATGGACATCTGCTATAGTCGAGGGTTACAGATGCGTTGACAGCCTTTTGAAAATTAGGCTCCGGCTACCTCACTCACCAGGCGAAAGTATTTGTCATACTTCTACTTCATGCTGGTCTTCTACTACTACACGGTTGTGGTACTTACCTGGACGGAGCTGCCCATTCGTGCAACACCCGAGGCTGCTGCGTGGCCCTACCACCGTAAAACCGTATGTTATTCAGACCTACTCCCACCCCCAAGAAAAGCTCCAGCATCCACTTGGGGATGATTCCGCCCATTGGGAACCTATTTTGTAGGTAGAGGGACTAAGATTTTCTGTCGGAAACCAAATAACCCTTCATGCAACTGAGGGTGCTAATGAAGGGATTTACAGCGTGTTGTACCCAAAAAACCTATACCGCCACCCATGGACATCTGCTATAGTCGAGGGTTACAGATGCGTTGACAGCCTTTTGAAAATTAGGCTCCGGCTACCTCACTCACCAGGCGAAAGTATTTGTCATACTTCTACTTCATGCTGGTCTTCTACTACTACACGGTTGTGGTACTTACCTGGACGGAGCTGCCCATTCGTGCAACACCCAAAGCTGCTGCGTGGCCCTACCACCGTAAAACCGTATGTTATTCAGACCTACTCCCACCCCCAAGAAAAGCTCCAGCATCCACTTGGGGGTGATTCCGCCCATTGGGAACCTATTTTGTAGGTAGAGGGACTAAGATTTTCTGTCGGAAACCACATAACCCTTCATGCAACTGAGGGTGCTAATGAAGGGATTTACAGCGAGTTGTACCCAAAAAACCTCTGTTTCCTCCCACTTGTCTTGTGTGGTTCAGAATTTTACAGTGAATGAGATAGATTAAGGATTAAATATAAAAACTTTACCAAAACATGGTTAATTTTACTCATTGCAGGCCAGATTTTCGGTTGTGCTGGTGGATTGCGCGTCTGCACATATTGCTGCAATGTTGTCTTGAGCTACTTACGCGAGAATGACGCTGCTGGTGATATATCTCCGGATCTGCGAACTCTTCAAGAGAATTTGCAGGTTAGTGCCATATTTTAAGTCATGGATTGTTGCCACTTAATGTGTTATGCGATTGGATGAGGCCAAAGTACCCAAATGCCTTCTGGAGTGCCGGCTGGAGGGCCGGCTTGTAGCTGAAACAAAGCCATGAATAGATTGTACTGGAGAGATTTGCTTGACCAGGCTAAGACCTACCCGCTGCTGTAATGCCCAGATGATGATGATGATGACTGTTGCCACTTATGAATTGCAAACAAATATGTTGCAGGTAATTATTATTGTTACTTTGTGTGTTTTTATTTTTAAATCCCTGTAAAAGGTATAAAGGAGATATGTAACAGGGCTTTAAAATAATATGTTAGGTTTTTTAATACTTTCATTTCATTTCATTACATGCCTATCATCAGTTCCTCCTTTTTTATATTTCTATATACATATGTATTATATGCAAGAATTCTACATGCAATTAAGTTCTCAGAACTCTTAGAGTAATTTAAAATTTTGTACATTTATAAAGAATGTACAGTTTGTATCAACGAATCAATTAGTTGATTGTTGTAAAATAACTATGAAAACAAGTAAAATAAATTTTTAAATATTTTTATTTTTACTTTATTTTGTTTTATTTCATTTTATAAGGACAACTTACAGCTTTTAAGTACTTATTTTAAAAGAATATTATAACATAATATATATAAAGAGCCATTAAAAAGTTTCCACCCTAAGTAGATTTATGAGATGAGGAACAATTTTTTTGTGTCTAATGACATGGTTAGAAGCGTTTGAAAACACAATATCCTCGCAAACTTGACTCTTTTTCATTTCAAAAAGCAACAAATTCACTTGCTATGTTGTTACTTTTTTTTAATTTGATGTACCTCGTCACGGCTAACTCCGTGCGTGACTTATTCTATGTGCGGATATTTCTTATAGGCTAATGTTACATTGCACTTTTATCTGTACGGTTTTTTTCTCGTGTGATTTTCTGTTAATCTCTATCGCCGCCCCTTGATCCTATATCTCGAACTCCAGCCGTCAGTTGACTAAAAGGTTCTATACACCTCAAACCCTTCTCACTGCTCATTGTATCCCCTGTAACGTGGTTGCCTGGAAGAAATCTAATCGAAGCGATAAGGCCGCCAATTTTACCTATATATAATTTTTGTTACATTTGTTATTTTGTTTGGTGTGCAATTTATTGCTTTAACATATTCACTCATTCATTCATTCGTTCAATCATTCATTCGTTCATTCATTCGTTCAATCATTCATTCGTTCATTCATTCATATAATACGGCGCCAGGTGAAATTCCCTGACAACCGGGCGCAGTTGAACAAAGGCCGGGACAACTTCATGTTCGCCCGGGAGCAGGAGGAGAGGTGCGACTTGCGGGCGTCTGCCAAGGAGTCCCTCCTCGACCTGTACAGACAATTGTGCTTCAGCCTGCCCACGCAGCAACATCGGTAAGACTAATGACCATTAATTGTGGTTGGGCCAACAGTTAGCTGTTGCACGAATGGGCAGGTACGTCCGGGGTACCACGACCTCACTGAAGACCGGCGTGAAGTCGAAGTGTCATGCTTCTGCGTCTCGTCTGGTGAGTGTGGTAACAGGAGCCCTTTGTTAAAAGGTGCACGCATCTGCAAACCGACAGGTGTCGTAAAAGTCAATGGGCGGCGGTTATCACATAACATCAGGCCAGCTCTTCTATACTGTGGGTAGTGCACCAGTAAGGTTATAGTGCACCGACCGATGGGAAGTTTGTCGAGTGAGGTCGTCACAACTTCATATATCTGTGACGTGATAAAGCACTTTAAATTGCAATTAAAAATTCCATTGATGTCTTCACCGTTTGCTCGAGTATATTAAATTTAAAGCGAACTTCCGGACACTGAGCTATCAATATGAATTGATCGAGAAGATGTTCATATTTTAGATCTTTCATGTTTTTAGGTATCGACTTGTAAGGTACAACAGCGTTTGGCGGGGATGCGATATCGTGCAGTGGATAATGGAGAACACGAATCATAAGACTAGGTAATTAATATTTTTCCTAAGAAACGGAATGGCGCCGTTGCTAAGCCGTTGGCTTCATCGTCGGGGATCGTGGGTTCGATTCCCGCACGGAACAATTATTTGTGTGGCCCACAAATAATTGTTGCGGATCTGGATGTTTGTTTCCCAAGGAGGGTTGACGTCAGGCAAGCGGCCAGTCGTAAAAAAAATATAGCCCAAACCCTTTACAACATGATTCTCATGTCCCAAACTAAGCAAAGCTTGGACTATTAGGATATTAGTTAAAACATACTTAAAGCTTACTTTTCTTTTGTTAGTAAACACATATTATAGATATATAAACACCAAGACACTATGTTCATCACACAATATATTTCCAGTAGTGGGAATCGAGCCCGCGCCTACTGGCGCAAGAGACGGGGTCACTATATACTACGCCAATTGAGTAGTCATATAAATACAGGGTGGCTTTTCTAAAGGTGCCCAAATTCACACAGGACGTTCAGACTCGGTAGTATAATCGTTTATTGAAATAAAAACAAACTTTTTTTTTTTCCAAAAAAAAATGCCCTTCCATTCCCTGAAAAAAACAGAACTTGTTGACAATGCGGTAGTTATTCAAAAATGCGTCGTATACTTTTGAAACGAACTTGTGTGCGTGTTAGTTATGAATGATCGCGCGTAAAATAAATGAGTTGCCCATAAATCGCGCACTTTTTGAGATAAGTTCAAATGAATGTATTTAATTGATTGCTTACGAGTGATTTTAAATATTTATCATTTTTTATACAATATCTAGAATTTAATAAAAAAAATGGATACACTTAGAAAAGCTTCCCTGTATATTGGAAATTTAAAATTTCGCTGGTGGACCGATGTCGCATAGGGCGCAGGCGAACGGAATTTGCCAAGCTCTGGTCGCGGCCGGCCACGTGGGCAGCGTCACGGACCCGCCACAGTTCGCGGACTACGCCCTCTACCGTCCGTCCACGGATCTACACCGGACGGGGGGCGCCCGCGGCCCGGACCCCAGCGAGGACGAAGGTCCGCAACAACCTCCCCTTATTTCGGCCGTGAAGGCACTATGATACGTCTCTGATCGTGTTAAGTGCGCTGGAAAAGGGTCCGAAGGCCCGCTGGCCACCTCTTTGGTGTTATTTTCGTCGAGAAGGCACTTTGATCGTTTTAATTGGCCTGGAAAGGGGGTCTTAAGGTCAGCTGGCCACATCTTTGGTGATATTTTGTTCGTGAAATCACTTTGATACATGTTTGACCGTATTAAGTGGGCTGGAAAGGAGGTCCAGAGGTAGCCACCTCTTTGGTGGTATTTTCACCGATACGTCTTTGACCGTATTAAGTGGGGTGGAAAGGGCGTCCTAAGCTCCGCTAGAAACGAGAGGCGTTGTCTTTAAAAGATCAGCAACGCATCTTCAGCCTTACGCGTGTTGTAGATCTCCAATTTAACATCACGTGAATTTGCACCATGCCACCTCCCATATTAAAAACGACTTGTGATCACGATTCGTGAACTTATCTATGTATACGTATGTTCATTTTTTTTTTGTATTTGAGGCAAACGAACAGACAGCTAAAAATCAGATATTTTAAGTCTTCGCAGTTGCACGGAGGGGCAGGTCCGTCCGGGTTAATACCACGACCTCACAGGAAACCGGGCTTGAAATGGAAGTGTTATACTTCTGCGTTTCTGGTGAGCAACCCCGCGGGTTTTGCATATGTGTGTCTATGGGCGGCGGTTACCAGGTGAACCGCTTGATCACAACGCGCTTGCGAGGTGCATTCTTTATCTCGTTCGATAGACGAAACGCGAAATTATTAAATACGTCTACTTGGCGCCGGTCTTCTGTCTATTGCATGCATGGTGACTTTACTAGCTTATTACTTTTTTTTATTGATATTTTGTCTATTCAAATTAAAACAAGTGTATAATCTGTACAGATTATTGCCGCATCGTGGTATAATTTGTAATTAGACGCGGGTAGTTTCAGGCGAGGAGTGTGGTCGACTTGTCGGGAGCGTATCTTCCTACTGTTTGAATTTGAACCTCGGCGATAGTTCAGCGAGACTCATCAAAGCGAAAAAAACGGGTATTGGAAATTTATTTTAAATTTTTTTCTAGTGCTAGTCGAACTGCTAGTAAAACTGTCGAAAAAATTTTCGACAATTCATTTATTGAACTCGCATTTTATTGTACTTTCAGAAAGTAAATCTTCCCCTTCCAGTGAGGAGGACCACCCGATTTTAGATCAAAGCGAAGGTGCGTTAATATAGTATTATAATCATAAAAGCTAAAAAAAAATTTAAAAACAAGCTTTTATTTAATTTTAAATTAAATTAGTACATGTTTTACACAATTCTTTAAATGATATAAAAGCTTGCCGCGAGTACTAACTATTCTTGCTTGACATACTTATTATAAGTAATTCTATGAGAGAAAATGTTTCCGATAAAATATGCAAACCTCGCGACAAATTACCACCGATGAGCTATCGTTAATTCAGGAAGTTCCGAGTCGCCCCAACTGTGCAAGGTGATCGAAGAATCCGGGATCGAACATCTGAGACTTCTACTGCGACAGTGCTTGGCACGCGCCGGCTTGGCACCCGCTTGGCTGGACGTGCTGTATCCACTTTGCCAGCAGGCCGCCGATATTATAATGCCAGGTATACATGACGTAGCAATTTCGGTTTACTCGCAGTATTGAAAATGATAGTGTTCAAAATTGTTATACAAGGTGTCGTTACCATCGCGACAATAAATGAACACACATATAGGGGATGACTTTTTAAAGTTGTATCAAACATTTAAATTCTTTAAACATCAATATTTACAGAGTTATTAAATTTTCCAAAACAAAGAATTTTAGAACACCCTTACCTATAAAAGCGTAACGTAAAGTTCATTTGTAAAGGTCACAAAGCATATGAATGGGTTGAATGAATTTAAAAGAGACAAAACATACTGTTAGAAGGAGAGGCTTGCAATACGACGCTGTGGCGCGAGTTGTATGATGTTACAAATTTTATTTCTTTTTTATTTAATTATTTTGTTTGAAAAATATTTTTTTTAATTATGAATTTTGTTTAACGTTAAATTTTTTTTATGATTATTGGCAAGTAGCGTTAGACGCGTGTTCATTTATTGTCGCGATGGTACCGACACGCTGTATAATAAATTGTTTCATCGCAAATTTTATGCGTTTCCAAATATAATATTGTAATTGCAGTATAAAGATTGATAACTAAACTTTTTAGTAGTAGTTGATGATGATAATGTAGTAAAAAATGCTTTTACCGAAAACTGAATTTAGCACTAGTCATTAAATGTTTGAAATATAATTAAGGTCTCTCAAAGTTATTTAATTTTTCAATTTACTCTTATTCTTATTCGAAGATCTTATGAAAACTTTCCCCCCCATCAAAGGAGACCTAATTAATTTTCAATATAATAAATGATGAATGTTTTTTTGGGAACGAACCCACTACCCGCAGACATGTACGGCAACGACATCGACGTCCGCAACTACGTGCAGGTGAAGAAGGCTCCAGGTGGCAATATGCAGGACAGCTGCGTCATAAACGGCGTGGTTCTTACCAAGAATGTGGCGCATCGGTGCGTAATCTAGAGAAATCTTTGTAGTTTCGTTCAATTAATCATTATTAATGCGATTAATCGTCCATTAACTCGTTCGTTCTTTCTTTCTTGATGAATTAATATGGTTCATTTCACTTACGAAATTCGTGTGGAATGTAAATGAAGTCACGAAAGATCTTTATGGACTCATTCGTTCATTAGTGCAACTAATCGTTCATTCATTCATTCGTTCTTTCCTGATGAATTAATATGGTTAATTTCACTCACGAAATTCGTGTGAAATGTACTTCATGAAAAATCTTTATAGATTCATTCATTCATTACTGCAATTAATCGTTTATTCATTCATTCGTTCGTTCTTGATGAATTAATATTTATTTAATTTCACTCACGAAACTTGCGTGAAATGTACTTCATAAAGATGTTTATGGAGTCATTCGTTCATTACTGCAATTAATCGTTTATTCATTCATTCGTTCGTTCTTGATGAATTAATATTTATTTAATTTCACTCACGAAATTTGCGTGAAATGTACTTCATGAAGATGTTTATGGAGTCATTCGTTCATTACTGCAATTAATCGTTTATTCATTCATTCGTTCGTTCTTGATGAATTAATATTTATTTAATTTCACTCACTAAATTTGCGTGAAATGTACTTCATGAAGATGTTTATGGAGTCATTCGTTCATTACTGCAATTAATCGTTTATTCATTCATTCGTTCGTTCTTGATGAATTAATATTTATTTAATTTCACTCACGAAATTTGCGTGAAATGTACTTCATGAAGATGTTTATGGAGTCATTCGTTCATTACTGCAATTAATCGTTTATTCATTCATTCGTTCGTTCTTGATGAATTAATATTTAATTTCACTCACTAAATTTGCGTGAAATGTACTTCATGAAGATGTTTATGGAGTCATTCGTTCATTACTGCAATTAATCGTTTATTCATTCATTCGTTCGTTCTTGACGAATTAATATTTATTTAATTTCACTCACGAAATTCGCGTGAAATGTACTTCATGAAGATGTTTATGGAGTCATTCGTTCATCAGTGAAATTAATCGTTCACACATTCATTGCTTGCTAATGAACCATTATCGGAGTATAGCAAGGTGGTTCGTGAATCAATCGAGGAACCTCTTTATTAGGTGTGATAATGTTTTTTCAGGGGCATGCCTCAACAGATATCCAATCCGACGGTGCTGCTGTTGGACTGCTCCATATCCTACCAACGGGTCGAGGGCAAGTTGACATCCTTGGAGCCGCTACTAATGCAGGTGGACCCGATGGGCGTAGTGGATAGTGAACCTGTATTTTTAGTTTTAGAGTGTTTATAATGAGTTTACCATAATCGACATTGTTAGCCTTTAGTCTAATCTAACGTCTAAAGCAAATGGCTAACGACTGTTTTGTCGATTAGCTCTTCACAAAGAAATGACATTGCGCTTATATAATTACATTATATTGTGCCCGACAGGAGCAAGAGTACTTGGTGCGTTGCGCCGCTCGCATAACAGCGCTGAGGCCTCGCGTGGTGTTAGTGCGCGGTGCCGCAGCACGGGCCGTGCAGGTACCACCACGAACTCGCCACAAACCCACCACGAACTCACAACAAAATCACCACAAACTCACCACTGCCGCGTCACTTGGAATTCATCGCCGAACCGCCATTACACTTTTTTTTTGTTTGAAAACATTGCCCTTACTTTAGGATAACGTTATCCTGTATTGTAACGACGTTTTACATACATAAGTTTCACGTGGACAAACAAGCGGATCCGAACCAATTAACTGTGTCCCACATGTATTTTTCTCTCGTGGCAATCGAACCCACGACCCTCGGCGCCGAAGCCAACACCTCGGCAACTGCGCCACGGAGTCATAATTTGCTTATCTCACGCGGACTCATCACCAAACCGCCGTGACACACCATTATCTCACCAGCGAAACTCGCAACGAACTCACCGCCAACTCGCCACAGCGAATCCATCATCGAACCCCAACCCCACGGCGTACTTTGTTGTTCGAGAAAAGGACGCGCTGCGGGGCGCGGGGGTGGCGCTGGCGGCGGGGGTGGGGGAGCGGGCGCTGCGCAGGGCGGCGCGCTGCGCCCGCGCGGACCTCGTCGGCTCGGTGGACGCGCGCATCGCCACGCCCCGCCTCGGCACCGCCGCACACTTCTACGTGCGCAACTGTGAGCGAGGACGACCATCGCCGTCGTTGGCATCACCGTCATCATCACGGTCATCATTGCCATCATCGTCACCATCATCATTAGCATCATCATCATCATTAGCATCATCACCATTAGCATCATCATCATTAGCATCATCACCATTAGCATCATCATAATTAGCATCATCATAATTAGCATCATCATCATTAGCATCATCATCATTAGCATCATCATCATTAGCATCATCATCATTAGCATCATCACCATTAGCATCATCATAATTAGCATCATCATAATTAGCATCATCATCATTAGCATCATCATCATTAGCATCATCATCATTAGCATCATCATCATTAGCATCATCACCATTAGCATCATTATAATTAGCATCATCATAATTAGCATCATCATCATTAGCATCATCATCATTAGCATCATCATCATTAGCATCATCATCATTAGCATCATCATCATTAGCATCATCATCATTAGCATCATCATCATTAGCATCATCATTATCGTCATTAACATCATCGTCATTATCATTGTCATCATCGCCATTAGCGACATATTCATTGTCATCATCATCATCATCATCGTTATTTCAGCCCGTTTGAGTCCACTGCTGAACGTGACCTCGCCCGCAGACCGCCAGGAGGCACGATTTTTTTTGGTGAGAAGTTGTCAAGTGAGAGGTCGGCTAACCTGATGTTAAGTGAACCGCCGTAAATGGACTGCAACACCCGACGCCTTGCAGATGCTTTGACAATCTTTATAAAAGTGGGCCCCGACAACTTCACTCACCAGACGAATGGCAAAAGTTTTATACTTCCACTTCGCGCCTGCCCATTCGTGCAACAGCCGTTTCGTGGTCCTGCCACAGTTATGCTGAGCCACTTACATCCATAAATTTCCCGCACACTTGCAATGGTCGTCCATGAAGTTATGAAATTTTAGTAGCCCCTGACGCAAAAATAACTATAATAAAAAAAATAGCTAACAGCGATATCGACGATATCTCTTCTTACGTATTGCAATTTTAATTTAAATTTCGCGCCTTCTAATGTAATTCCATATTTTGTTACTCTGTGTCTGGGAACTCTGTAGTTCAGTATATTTTTTTTTCTCTATTCCGTGACACTACGACTAAAGTACATACCTAGAAACTGTAATTTCACTAAATAAATTTATATTCACCTCTAAACCGACTTACACTTATTTAAAAAGCCAAACATTACGTAAACGGTTAAAACAGTTCCAGCCAAGACGCCTAACAAAAATTCTTCTAAGTACATTAGTGTAGTTAAAACAAAATAATTAACATATGGAACAATGTATATGACAATGAGATGAGAAGTAATATAAGATCGGAGCTAACTGCAAATCTACCCACTTACATTAGAAATACATGTATTGCTCATTGGAGTTGTCTCCGCTGCTTTAGACTGACGTGTGTATCTGCCTTAAACCGAAGCCTCTTCCTTCAGGTACTTAATTTTCCCATATAACAATTGAATTGGGCCCTCAACGTTTTTGTTAAATCCAAACTCTGTCCTAATAGCCCTGCTGGTCTATGCATTTTTGTATGAGTTATTATTTAATTTGCCATTTCCAGATTCCGGAAAGACCCTGATGGTACTGGAGGGTTGCGCGGAGCCCCATCTCGGCTGCTGTATCCTACTACGCGGCGGCTCGCTAGCCGAGCTGATTAGAGTTAAGAAGGTCGTCAAGTTCATGCTGCTAGCGTTTTACAATTGGAAATTCGAGAGGGCGTTCCTTGCCGACATAGAAGCGGAGCTCCCCGAATCCGGAATGTCCTTCGGTGACGAAGAAAACGCTGACGATGAAACGAAAGCTGAAAACGACGAAACGATCAGAAACGGCGATGACGTAACTAGAGCATTCGGCGAGAAGGAGTCGCTTTTCGACGAAACTCCGAAACTAGAAAACGAGGAAACCAACAAATCAGCGGATATAATTAAAGGCCTAGAAAAAACGGAGAGCCTACAGAGTGCGATAGACGATATGGACGATCCAAACGTGGATCTGTTCACGACGAATAGGAGTGAAACAAAATCTGCAATAAGCGACGTTACTGACGATGAATTCGCCTTGAAGAATGTTAAGGAGAGCGCTGATAAAGGCGAAGAACCACACGAGAAGGTGAAACAGAGTGATAAGAATTTAAGTTGCGGCGTACTTATAAGGGATTTCAGTGATCCACTGCGTTCCACATTGTCTTTGGAGGACGACGTGTTTGTGCCTAAGGAGGAAGCCAAGCTCCAAGCGGACTCTCACAGCGAAAGGTAAGTTCACACTTCTGTATATATGGTTGATAAAATGGGCTACCTTTAAGAAAATTAACCTCCGATTTGTTCATCAGCTAAACTACTCATAAACTTGAATTTTCTTTCAGGAAATTTTCCTAGAATAACTGACATACATACTTGAACATACTTGTGAACATAAATAAATACATATTATAGAAATACAGACATAGAGACACTGGAAAAATGTTACGTTGATTGTGCAACATTTTCCATTAGCGGGGATTGAGCCCATTCCGCCGGGTCATAATCTACGTAAAAAGTTATAAAACTTACCACACTACACCGTTTTCGGCGATGTTGACGTATAACCAGGCTGTATATGGGATTAGAGGAATTACATTTGACCGTGAGCCGTTGAGCCGTATAGCTCGCTTTTAGTTCAACATACTCGAGCGACCTAAGTTCAAAACCCGGTGCCAGTACTAAAGAAATTGTCAATTTTAAGTCCTGAATTGTCACGTGCTCTGTCATGTAGGAATACGCGAAGAAACCTACATATTTTCTAAATAACAACAAAAAAATATTTCGATGATATGTGAAGTGTGCCAATCTGCAGTGGGGTCGCGTGGTGGTCTATGCCCTGATACCCCCTGTAAAGAAGAGGCCTTTGCCCAGCAGTGGGACATGTATAGCCTGATACTTTACTTTTTTTTACTTTGCTGTCGTGAAAAAACCGGCATATATTCGAAATAAACGTAATATCTGCCAATACGCAGTGGGGTCGCGGACTATGCCCTAATACTCTGTACACAACTGTGGAAGCCTCGGCTGTTGCACGAATGGGCAGGCCCGTCCGGGTAAGTACCACGACCTCACAGAAGACCGGCGTAAAGTGGAAGTATGACAAATACTTTCGCGTTTCGTCTGGTGAGTGAGGTAGCCGGAGCCCAATTTTCAAAAGGTTGTCAACGCATCTGTAACCCTCGAGTGTAGCAGATGTCCATGGGCGGCGGTATTCACTTAACATCAGGTGAACCGTCTGCTCGTTTGACAACTTTTCGCATAAAAAAAAAAAAAAAAAAAAGTCTTCGCCCTGAAGTGGTATAACCTCACTTTACTTTTCTTCACATTTGCCCGTCCGCAGATGGTCGACGGACGACGTGGTGCTGTCGATGTCGCCCAACATGGTGATCCCGGCGCCGCTGCGCCCGCTGCGCTCGCCCCCCGCCCCGCCCACGCCGCGCCCCCTCAGGCGCACCAGCTCGCGTCCGCTGCGCACGCACCTCGTGCTCAAGGTACATACGTACACACGGTACATACGTACACACGGTACATACGTACACACGGTACATACGTACACACGGTCCATACGTACACACGGTACATACGTACACACGGTACAACCACAGAGGACCGCCGCGAAGTGGAACTGTTAAACTTTCGCTTTTCGTCTAGTGTGCGAGGTGACCACGGCTCAATTTTTTCAAAGGTTTCAACGCATATCGCCTTCGGGTGTTGTAGATCTCATTGGGCGGCGCTATTCGCATAAATCAGGTGAACCGCCTGCTCTTTTGACAACTTTTGACATTAAAAAGGTACACGCTAAAGTTATACATTGTATTACTAACACTTTAGGTATGTGGACTTCTCTACCCTGTCCTTAGACAACCAAGTAGGTGAGATCGGCACAAAATTAGAATCATGTTTGTTAATAATATTGGATACGCTCAACGATCGGATGCTTGCTGTGGTCCTCCTTCTAAACGTTATTGTACAGTCGCGAACAATTTTTGTTATCCTTATTATAATTGTTAACTAATACATTAAGTTATAGCTCTATTTTTACCCTCTCTACACAATAGTGATCACCGTACACAATCTTTGATGCCCTTTCTATTTCGCACTTCCGTATTACACAGTCATGCAAGTATTTAGCAGTTACCAGCAGTGAAAGCTCCGTTGACTTGAGCCCCTAGAGTATAATGTATGCAATCCTCATTGTGGAACATAGAACTGAATTCAGAGTTTCTCCAATTCTTCCTTTCTCAGGAGACCGCATCCATTCATCAAGATGGCGATAGCGGCCGCGGCAGACGAGCCGGCTCTGCGAGCCGCTCTCGCCAATTACCGAGCCACTGGCGGCCACCTCATCAACGGCACACATAAACGTGAGTAAATCCGTTTGTGTATGCGAAAGTTCCAATCCACGAAACACACATTTACAAAAAGCCACATAAGCATGAGTAGCTAACACACAATAATATAAAAAAAAAATAGAAAATTGTTAATAGTTTATGTTTAATCAAGAAATTAATTATAAGCTAAATTATTTTAATCAAATTATTATAAATTATTAATTTAAAATAAAGATGGTATTAATAATTCACAATTTACACTCTACACAGATAAAAAAAATTAGTCTTTCTGTTTGTAATTTTAAAATAACAGCCCTGTTACTAAATGTACATGGATGTTATACACGGTACATATACCAAAGTAACATTTTTTACAATTTTTGTCTGTCTGTTTGTTCCGGCTAATCTCTGAAACGGCTGGACCGATTTGAATGGGAGTTTCAATGACAGGTAGCTGATGTAATAAGGAGTAACTTAGGCTACTTTCATTTTATATTTTTTTCATTTTAAATTCCACGCGGACGAAGTCGCGGGCACAGCTAGTTGATTAATAAATTAATAATTCATATATAATTAAAGGTGTTTCTCCGTTTGAAATTCTTCCGCCAGGCGAGTGTCCGCAGTACAAGCCGTCGGTGCTGAAGCGGGTCGAACCCGAGACGGAGGCGGCCAAGCGGGGCGAGGCCGCTGAGCCGCTGGACCCCCTCGCGCCGGAGAACCACCAGCGGCTGAGCCTGCTGCTCTACAGCTACAGCGACAAGTCGGCCAACGTGCCCGACTTCTGCGTAAACCCCTGGCAAGTATATATATATATATAAATATATATATAATCGACGGTATTTGACGACCCGAATGGCGTAGAGGGTAGTGTACCTGCCTCCTGCGCCAGGGGGTGTGGGTTCGATCCCCACTACTGGAAAATATATTGTGTGATGAACATAGTGTTTTTCTAGTGTCTGGATGTTTATATATGTATTTATTTACTAAAGAAAAGTATGTTTAAGTATGTTTATCAGTTATCTGGTACCCATAGTACAAGCGTTGCTTAGTTTGGGACTAGAGAACGTTGTGTAAAAAATGTGTCCTAAAATATTTATTTATATTTATTTTATTTATATATATATATACAGGGAAATCCATTTTAATTAAATTCTAGATATAAATAATGTTATATGAAAAATGATAAATATTTAAAATCACTCGTAATTAATGTAATTAACATTCATTTGAACTTATCTCAAAAGTTCGTGATTTATGGGCAACTCATTTATTTTACGCGCGATCATTCATAACTAATACGCACACAATTCATGCTTTACCGCAACAGAATTAGGTGCATTTTTGTATGACACGAACTTTCGCACAGGATCGTGACAATGGAGATGTACGGCCGTCACGACATTTCTCTAGGCGCGTTCCTGGAGAGGCACTGCTTCGACTGCGAACACCGCTGCCCCTCTGCCAACTGCCAGGTGCCAATGAACAAGCACGTGCGCAGGTACCTGCCAAGCTGATTCCAATTTCGATAGAGCGAAGAAAGAGGGAAAATACATTTATTTACAAAAAAAAAAAAGGACGGACACAACAAAAAATAAAAAAGCGAAATATAACAAAAAAAAAAACAAAAAAATATATAATATATAAAAATTAAATTAAATTAATACTTGTAAGATACCTATATATTATATTTGTTATTCATGTTACTCATCGGGAATATAGACTGCTATCTGTTTCCGTATCATACGTTCTATATCATCCGTCACAGTTGCCTATAAATGCTATGTAATGTAAAGCGGAACAATTTTTAAAAGCCGCGCAGTATAGACGTGCGTCATCTATATTATTAAACATCATTGTGTGTAACTACTAAACTCTGTCCATAATCATGTCTTTCATCACTTGTTTGTCTGTCTGCACCCGTCTCCTTGGATTTCCATCTCTCTTTGTCACGTTCCGTCTCATTCTATTTGTATATCTGTTCCTTTTCTTTTTTTCATCTCTGCGCTTTCCTCCGCTTTGTGGTTTGCTGTAGGCCGTTTGTTTGTATCTCTGTTTCTTATTTTTATCTCTGGGCTTCCTCCGTCTCGTGGTTTGCGATGGACCGTTGTGTTCCGTCGATGATCACGTATTCCTCGATAGGTTCGTCCACGGCGACGTGTGCATCACGATCACATGCAACACGATCGGGCACAGCAGCGTGGACAAGGCGAAGGACGATCAGAGCAGAGAGGTGAGCCACTAATTGCATTGACAAGTAATCATAGACAGTATTTTCTTCGTCTTTTTCAACATTAGGCTCCATAAGATAGCAACTTGCTGGCTAGGGCTCCATTCAAGCGTGCACTGCTCACTCTAAATGTGGTTTACAGACAGACCGACAGAATTGACCCGTTTTCGTGCCACAGAAATGATTTTATAACAGTATCCCATTACGTGATGTGTTACACATAAAATTATAAGTATGATTTTTTTTTGTATTAATTTCTTACTGGGTAAAACTGGTTTCATGGAATTGTTAGCTTTTATTTTTTCATTTTTTTTTGTTTCGACTATTTTATAATTTTTGGCTAAACCAATGCTATCGCATTGGGTCAGCCTGTGATACTTGTGTGCGTGTGTGTAATAAATAAATAAGTAGTATCATCGTTTTATGTGGGGGTGGGGGGGGGGGGGGGGGGGGGGGAGTTCAAGAAAATGAAACATAAACTGTGGTAGGGCCACGCAGCAGCCTCGGCTGTTGCACGAATGGGCAGGCCTGTCCGGGTAAGTACGACGACCTCACATAAGACCGCCTTGAATCGGAAGCGTCATACTGTGTGAGAGCGGTAGCCGGGGCCCACTTGATTGAAACGTGTCGACGCATCTGTAAACATCGCTCAACATCGTGCGAACCGCTCGCCCCCTCACGCGGAACAGGTGCGCCTGTGGACGAGGTGCGAGCAGTGCGGCGCGACGTCGCGCGGACGGCGGCTCTCGCGCGGCGCTCTCTCCCTCTCGCTCGCACAGTACGTGCGCGCGCGGCTGTGCGCCACGCGGTACGCGCGGCCCGCGCTCTGCGCCCACCCGCTGCACGCGCACGCGCACGCCTTCGCCCGAGGACTCACCACCGCCTGCTTCAGGTGCGCAAATACGAACTATCCACACTCTAGCATACAAGCCGTTCAAACCCTAGCATACCAACTATCCACACTCTAGCATACACGCCGTTCAAACCCTAGCATACGAACTATCAACACTCCGGCGTACAAGCCGCTCTTATCATAGTATACAAACCATCTACACTCTCGCATACATACCGTCTACACCCTAGCATACAAGCCATCTTCACTGCTATACAAGCTATCTACACTGGAATACAAGCCACCTCGACCTAGCATGCAAAAACTAAGTATAATTAAGCTCAACATCACCGATAACACTGACCCATCGAAATAAGGAAAACCCCTCAAATGAGGACTTCCCACTAGACCCCAAAATATTTTTAAATGGGAAAAAAATATTAACTTCAAAATTATAAATCGTAGGAACATAAACTTAAAACTATTAGTTAACAGCAGCTCCTACGTGCGCTTTTAGGTACAGCAAAATAACAACGTACGACATTCAGCTGCCCCCCGACGTGATCTCGATCAACTACGACACGAAGCAAATGCGGGACGCCCTCATCGGGCAGCTCAACGACCTCATGCTGAAAGGTATTAAAGGGAAGACGAATGGGGAGACTATGCTGTGTTGTTAAGATTTTTTATTTTGTGAAAAGTTGCCAAGCGTGCTAACGGTTCACCCGATGTTAAGTGAATACCGCCGCCCATGGACATTTTCTACACCCGAGGGTTGTAGAAGCGTTGAAAACCTTTTGGAAATTGGGCTCCGGCCACCTCACTCATCAGACGAAACGCGAAAGTATTATACGTACACTTCACGCCGGTCGTCTGTGAGGTCGTGGTAACTACCCGTGCAACGGCCGAGGCTGCTCCGTGGCCCAACCACCGTAAGATTACGAGTAGATTAAAAAAAGATTAGTTATTTATCTCTCACACAATAATTTACCGTTAGGTGAATCGCTAAGTTAAATGCCATATCTTTGAATTGTAACAAATATATATTATCGTAACACTGGCTATTTCGAAAATGTACCAGTAACACAACCTTTTTGTTGCCGCCATCCAACCTCCTTGTGACTATACAACAACTAAATATCATATTGCCTAGCGACAGATAATAAAAAAGATTTGTTTAAAAAGTATCGACCTGAAAAGCGAAGCAACAGTCCGTTCACTTGTATAAGACAAATAAATAATCAAACCTCTTTTCCTAGACAACATTGGGAAAAAATTATGACAATTAGTCCAAGATTGTTGTTCAAACCACAGAAATTTGGAAAAAAATAAAATTTTGCCCAAGTTTCTGACAGAAGAAAATAAAATTTTGCCCAAGTTTCTGAAAGAAGAAAATAAAATCGTTCCTGAAATATTGCCAAAGATTGACAGATAATAAACACTTTATTATAAACGTATTTGGCGACATTTTATTTCTAATAGTGTCACAATAACTAAACACAGGGCACGAGACTTTCAGCAACGCTTCTGAGGGGGAAGAGAAAGAGAAGGAGTACCAGGCCTTCAAGCAGCACATGGAGCGCATCCATCTCGCTCTCACTTCCGCCAGCCTGCACGAGAACTCCACTCTTGCCGGTGAGTGAGCGGAACAGATGTGTTGTGTGTCCGTAGATCCAAAAGTCAAATGTCACATTCAAATTTAAACCCTATCGTCATAGACAAAGGTTTCTTATTTACTTGTAGCCTTAAAATTCATGCGCTTAGTTCGTTTCAAAATTAAATGCTTACCTCTTTGAATATAAGTGTACTCTTTAGATAATATTAGCGTACGGCTTATAAAGGTTTAATGAAACTATTTTACCAGATTTCATCGGGTTTTAATTTGATTTTTAGATTTCCGACGTTTCGACCCGTTATAGGTCAAGGCACTGAGACCACGGACGCTGGAAAACAAAAAAATCAATAAGCTCGTAAAAAAAAACCAACGTATGTTCGATGCACACACCGGCCAAAAACTTTTCGTCCTATTTTTTAATTATTAAAAAAAATATATATAGTTTTATCTTAAGTGCCCGGGATTGACTCGACAAAAACCTGTTATAAAAATTTTTTAATTTGTTTATTTAGGCTCCGTAACTGATTTCGTGGTACACTTAGCATTTACATAACTCGGCAGGTGTCGTGCGGAGCCTGTGGGACGTGTCGGACGACATCATCACCGGCGAGAGGATGCTGCGGGAGGCGCAGGAGAAGTGGGCCGGCGCCGCGCTCAGGGGCAGCGCCAAAACGCAACCCGAAACCAGCCGTAAGTCGTGCGCCGTAAGGCTCTTTGTTGCACAATTAGATGCGCGTGTCGACAAAAGCTATGAAACCGACGCCTTGTAATACAACAGCGCTAAAGCGCAATCGGAAACCGGCCGTAAGTCGTTTATCATAAGGCTCGTTATTGCATAATTAGGCGTTCGTTTGACAAAAGCTTTGAAGCCGGCGCCGCGTTCTAGAACAGCGCTAAAACGCAAGCGGAAACAACCCATAAGTCTTTCGTCATAAGGCTCGTTATTGCCTAACTAGGCGTTCGTTTGACAAAAGCTATGAAACCAACGCCGTGTTCTAGAACATACACATGAATACATTAATGACAATAACCCCTGGGAATGAGTTGATCGCTCCCAAGCTATTTCTCAAAGGAAAAAAAATCAGTTGTATAATATTTTTAATTTTTTTTTAAGAAAAAAATGAATTACAAAAAGTGGATACCTACGGATTTTCTTTCGCCTGTTTCTTCTCCGCTAGAGGAACCTCATTACGAAACGGTGGTAGATTTAAAAAAAAATATGACTCGATAGATGAAATGTCAGTTTCTTATGTCAATGAATAAATGATTTTGATTTTGATTGCTTAATAAGACACTCGTGACAAGAGCATTGAAGCTGTGGCCATTTCATTTCAAGGCGGCACGCATCTGCAACTTGTTTTTTTTTTAATACTGCCAATGGAACCGACGAATAGCTAAACAGCAACAACAGCCAAACTCATACCACTGACCCTCGCAGATTGATGCATCATTTTAAATAACAAATTAATATTACAGAGGAAGAGAAAGAAATCGAAGACTCCACCATCGAATCCAGCACTTCCGAGAATTCGGGTGAGTTACCATTTTTTTTTTCACTAATCGCTTTTTCACTTTTTAATAATCGTTAGCATTTATCTATTACAGAAACTATTTTTATGGTTTATGTCCCGTTAATTTTAACCTAAAATCCCAGTCAAAATAAACGTAAAATTGCTTAAATTCAACTCAATCAACAATTGTATGAAAAATATAAATGTCTACAACTGGACGTATTATTGATTTCTCGATTATTACTATACTTGTCTATTACTGTTATTATTTAACTTCTAAAGGATTTTCCACAAATAAAAAAATTCCATTTGACATAGTATTTAATACTAATTTTATTATATTACATTTACACAGACGGCGTATCCAAGGACTCTGAGAGAGAACACTTGAGTAAGAACATTTCCTATTTAATTATTACAGTTAGAATATTTACTTTTACAGTATTTATATTTATTAGAATTATAGACACTACACAAAGTTATATTACACTAAAATTTAGATTTATTTATTTATTTAAATATTTTGTTTAAAGAAATTTTCTGAATGACTATGAGAAATAATTGCTCTGTGCCTGTGCCATTCTAATTTCCGTTACCACTTTGATATGCAGACAACTTCGATTAATTTAAAAAATAGGTACTTGAAAAAAAAAAAACTTTTTTTCTTTTAAAATTGAGCAGGCAATGACGATGACGAGGAGAGAGGCGACAAGAAAACCGTGAAGCAAATCTTGTCCCAGCTTCTTTCCAGCAACCAACAAGCTAATCAGGTGACAAATCTCATACAATTTGTGTTTCGCAATATGACTTGACAAATTTGAAAACTCTAATACAACTTCCATATATTAATACAATTGCCCATTATCAACAAGTGATTCTATTGTGTTCTTTAAAAATAATTTTCACTTTTAATATATATCTAGAAATATATTTAATATATTTTTTAAGGGTTAATTTTAAATTCGAGTACCGTTCGTGTACCATGCTTCCTTATAGGCATATGAGCCTTCTGGAATATTCTTTTACGAACTATTTTACAAATTTTTTAACCATACTACCCAAACGTCAGTACGCCATACAAAATTCAAATTATCTCTTTATTCAAACAGACGCTTGCGCGTTTTTATGAAACATCGAATTTTACATATAAATTGATACATGCGTTCGTAGGTTATCATTGTAAAATGTAATATTCGTACACGAGAAATGGTAGAACATAAGGGACGTTGCAACTTTTAAATAAATAATAAATAAATATTTCGGACACATTTCTTACACAACATTCTCTAGTTCCAAACTAAGCAACGCTTGTACTATGGGTACTAGAAAACTGATAAACCTACTTAAACATACTTTCCTTTTGTAAATAAATACATATTATACATTTATATAAACACCCAGACACTGGAAAAACACGATGTTCATCACACAATATTTTTCCAGTGGTGGGGATCGAACCCACACCCTCTGGCGCGGGAGGCGAGGTCACTACTCCCCACGCCAATTGGGCCGTGGGGAGTAGTGACCATAAGACCTGGCTGCCTACTCCCGGCAGGTTCTAGTTCTGAATCAATCGAATTCGACTCGAATCCGTGGCAATTCGTACCACTGATCTGACGCCAGCGCACAATCGAATAGTGGCTCTAATTGGAACTGGCTAAGATCGGATAATTTTTCGAAAAAAAATTAAGCAATTAACATTTTATCTAAGAGAGATGTTACAACCGTAAACATGGAACATTTGTCTGTGACGTAATAGGCCAGATACGGTTAACGGATCTGATAACTCACGGTTTTGTTTCTAAATATCGATTCGGTACGGGAGTAAGATTTTCAAATCGAGTTCGAATCGAAAACAGAAACAAATTCGAATCGAGTTTGAGGAGTAACACGGTCAGTGTCCGGGCGCTCGCCTTTAATTCAATATACTCGAGCAACCTGAGTTCGATCCCCGGTGCCGGCACCAATGAAGTTTTTAACTTTAAGTGCTGACTTATCACGTGCTCCGCGGTGAAGGAAAACATCGTGAGGAAACCTGCATATTTTCGAAATAATAACAAAAAATAAATATATATTTCGAAAATATGTGAAGTCCGCCAATCCGCAGTGGGGCCGAGTGGTGGACTATGCCCTGATACCCTCTGTATAGAGGAGGCCTTTGCCCAGCAGTGGGACATGTATAGGCTGTTACTTTTACTTTTACTGTGGCGTGTTGTAAGGAATAGTGTCGTGCGTGTGTATGTTGGCAGAGCGGCATCATAATCTGGAGCGGCGTGGTGCCGGTGGTGGTGCGCGCTGGGGACATCGGCTCGGTGATCGCGGCCACCTTGGCCTCCGTCACCTATCGCCGGACGCTGCGGGCGCAGCGACACAGGTTCGAATCCCGGCGGCTTTGGGCTAAAGTACTCTTTTCTTATGGGATAAAAGCAGCAATCGAGCAGGAGGCTCACCCGATGGTAAGTGATCACCGCCGCCGATGGACAACTGCAACACCCGAGGGCTCACAAATGCGTTGCCGGCCTTTTCCTCGCGAAGGGAAAGGCGGAAATCTACAATGATTTTTTCCCCGTATCCGTTTTTTTTTATGTGAAAAGTTGCCAAACGAGCGGACGGTTCACCTGATGGTAAGTGAATACCGCCGCCCGTGGACATCTGCTACACCCGAGGGTTTACAGATGTGTTGACAACCTCTCCCTAAAATCCGATCCGTTCCCTAAAATCTCATCTCTTACAACGGGAAATCGTCTTTTCAATTCACCTTTTCTTCCGCGTCGGCATAATCAGCACCATAGTCCCCTGTAATCTCAATGTGCGTCTCAGAATGCGAAATCTTCGTTTCGGTGCATGTTTTCTACTGGCAGCAGAAATTAAACCAACCGAGGACCATCTTCAATGCTTAATCAATAAATCTATAAATTTCACTAGACCAATTTTGAATGGTAGACAACTTCCTTGATCAATATTCGAACCTCGATCAATATTGCCCTCTTTCGAGGCTAAATATTTCGTATTCAAAAATATCGATAAACCGCTACAGCATATCCCAATTCTTTATAAAATCCTTATTTCTAAAGTATAGACTTTGGATACTTTGAGGTTATGTACATGTAACTTTCAACTTTCTAGTACGCAAAGTGAACACGAAGAAGGCGAAAGTGTAAATTCCACTGGCAAGGAGAGGACCGACGCAGATAAGGCGAAATCCAACGCCGCCAAATCCACCGAACACATAGAGGTCATGCTCAAGGTCAGGGTTTTATAACACTTAATGCATTTACCTTTGATTGATAGATTATAGAGTCGTAATAGTATATCATTGTATGTAAGAAGAAAGCAAGCGAGCTGGCGGTTCACCTGAGGTTAAGTGACAAACGCCGCCCATTGAGATTTGCAACACCCGTAGGGTTGCAGATGCGAAACGCGTAAGTGTAACACTTGGTAGTTGGTACTTTAGCCTGTCTTCCGTGAGGCCGTGCCCAATTGTGCAACGTAATAAGGTTTTTCGTGAACTGTGCTGAATAGTGGGAGCGAGATAGAAAGCTATTTGGATCACGGCGCGAGAGGGACGGCGATACTCCCCTCGCAACCCCGCATGCGGTTCCCTAGATCCGTATGAATTGTGGACTACTGTGTAACTATTGTAGGGTTACGCAACAGTGTTCGCTGTTGCACGAATAGGCAGGTCCGTCCGGGTAAGTGCCATGTCCTCACAGAAGATCGGCGTGAAGTGTCATACTTCGTCTCGTCTGGCGAGTGAGGTGGCCGGAGCCCACTTTATTAAAAGGCGGCAAAACATCTGCAACCCTACGGGTGTTGCAAATGTCCATGGGTGGTTATCGCTTAACATCAGGTGAACCGCCTGTTCCTTGCCACAATCTTTAGAGGCGACGTAAAGTTGTAGCCGTTTCAATAGGAAGGACTCGCGTGCCGAGTTTACTACGCGCTGCAGTTCCACGGTCTGCGGCACGCGCTGCTGGCCGCTCCCGCGTCCGCGCCCGCCGCCGATTCCGCCCCCGCTCCCGCCTCCGCTTCCGCTTCCGCCTGTCTCTGCGACCAGAATAAGGACAAAGACGGTACGTAACGTAGCCTTTTCTCTTTCCTTTGTTCAGTTGTTAAGTAGGCTATATGGCCTACTATAGTAGCGTTAATAACTCTTGCTCTGCACCTGCCTGCAAGCCGCCGGGCTGCTGCTGATTTTGTACTTAAATACTTTTGTTTACGTATATAATTAAAAAAAATAGATAACAAGACCGCAAAATTACTTGCCGGTTCTTCTCTGGACGTCCAGTAAGGAACGTCAAAAAACTCCGACCGGTTCACTAAACTAGACCTGCTCAAAACTAATATTGAATATAATATATTGTTTTTCAATGCTTGCAGGGTTGATGTATTTATTGTTTTGCAATGCTTGCAGAGTTGATATATTGATTATGGTTTGATTCCGGGTATAACAGGCAGGGGTTTATGCGACATCGAGGAGGGTTTCCTGAGGTCTTTGGCGCACTGCGTGCCGTGGGCGGCGCGCGGGGGCAAGTCCGGATCGACCTTCTGCAAGACCCTAGGCGAGTTATTTTCCCCCTTTCGACGCTGAATTAAGCTCGGAGCTACGATGCTCTGATATAACAACAACCGCCATCTTATCGCAACACATTTCCTTTGCAAGCAGAATCTATAAAAAAAGTGTTTTTGTGTTATTCTAAGTTGTTAATGTTATTATAATTACTGCTTTTAAAGTATTTTTGTTACGGCTAAAGAAGTATAACTTCTTAGGTACATAAGCACACACACAGGTCTTTTATTTCAACATTTTTATTTTTAATTTTGTGTGTTATTATGGAGGTATTTGATTTTTTGATTTGATTTGATATCTTTCAAGTTTCTATAAAACTAACTTCTGTTATGAGTCGCCATTGCCATATCTGTTGTAGACGTATACAGGGAAGCTTTTCTAAGTGTATCCATTTTTTTTATAAAACTCTAGACATAACTAAAGTTATATAAAAAAGATAAATATTCAAAATCACTCATAATTAATTAAATAAGCACATTCATTTCAACTTATGGCAAAAAGTGCATGATTTATGGGCAAGCCATTTATTCACGCGCGATCATTCATAACTAACACGCAAACAAGTTCGTTTCAAAAGTATACGACGCGTTCATGACTGACTACCGCATTGTCAATAAAGTCTGTTTTTTCAGGGAATGGAATGGCAGTTTTTTTGAAAAGAAAAAGTTTGTTTTTTATTTCAATTAACGATTATACTACCGAGTCTGAACCTCCTGTGTGAATTTCGGCACCTTTAAAAAAGCCAACCTGTATACATATAAACAACTAGATATATACTCGTGTGTAATGACACCAAATAACAAATTAATATTTTCAGTACATATTCTTACACAATTTTGTCTATTCTCATATCTATTATAATCTATATTAAATATAATTATACATATATAATGAAAGAAGAGCGCATTTGTGTTTATAATACTATTTCTTTTATTAATCAGCCTATATGTTTTCAATATCTAAATATATTGTAATAAATAGAAGGTAAATAGTTCAGAACATACATATTTCCTAACCCTAAACTAAGCAAAAATTGTACTATAGGTACTAGATAACTAATAAACGTACTGACACATACTTTTCTTCAAATAAATACATATTGTAGATAATCAACATCAACACTATGTTAACTACACAATATTTTTCCACAGTAGGGATCGAACCCACACCCTTTGACGCAAGATACAGCAACGACAATATAATCAAGCATTATTACGTTTACGCCGCAGACGATAGATACGTGCTGAAGGAGATGACGAAGCCAGAGTGGCAGCAATTCCTAGAATTCGCCCCCCACTATTTCAACCACGTGACCCAGTGCCGCCTCAAGAAACTGCCCAGCCTTCTCGGTGAGTTTACTCTCGTACTGTTATTTCGTCTCCGTTTTAAGGTTGCCGTATGAGTGACGGTTTAGCGGCTGGGACGTCGGATTTGTAATCGCAATTTTGAGTTACATTCCAGAGGTAGTGTGTTTAAAATTTTATACATATTATGTTCCACTTATGGACAAAAAACAAACTGTAGTAGGGCATAGTTCGCCACGCGACTCCGCTGCGGATTGGCGGATTTTACATGTCTTCGAAATATTTTTTCTTATTATTTCGAAGCGATGTAAACATAGTACCTAAGTCAGCACTTAAAATGTAATTTTTTTCGCAATTTTATTGGTGATTTGAACTCGGGTTGCTCTAGTATATTAAGAATTAAAAGCGAGCGCCCAAACACTGAGCTATTGCGACTCTAAGCTCTCTAAGTACTGTTTCACTTATAACCCGTTTACAACGACGACAAATACCACTTCAGGTATAGGTAGACAAAGACAGCTGAACGGAATACAAATGTCCCTTCAGCTGTTTCTGTCTACCCCATTTCAAGACGAGACTACTTCCGATTTCTTCTACTAGATGAGACCACGCTACCGATCGCAGGTGGATAGAGACGGCTGAATGTCTCTTCAGCTGTCTCTGTCTACCCTATTTCGGTGTGGAACGCGACTGCTTCCGACTGATTCTTGCTTTATGAGACCACGCCACCGATCGTAGGTGGACAGAGACAGCTGAACGCATTCAGCTGTCTCTGTCTACCCTATTTCAGTGTGGAACGCGACTGCTTCCGACTGATTCTTGCTTTATGAGACCACGCCACCGATCGTAGGTGGACAGAGACAGCTGAACGCGTTCAGCTGTCTCTGTCTACCCCGTTTCGGTGCGACGCGACCGCGATGAGATCTCGCCACGTTTGGGTGCAGCGCGCATCCTGGGCGTGTTTAGCGTGGGCGGCAGCGGCAGTGGCGTGCTGGTGATGGAGAACGTGTGGTACGGCGCCAAGGGGCCCAGGTTCGACCTGAAGGGCACATCGCGCCCGCGCCTCGCCGCCGCCGCCCCCCACTCCGGCGCGGTGCAGGTCGACCTCAACCTGCTGCACCGTAAGTGCTCCCACCAGCCCATCATCATAACTTCAGCCAGTTTCATCCCTTCATTGCGTCAGGGCCTCGGACAGGCATATTGATTCCGCTCTCAGTCCGCTGCACTATGGGTGGATTGATGATATTTGCCCACGCGATATCAGTCTCCTGCGTGTAAAGTAAAACTAGCCACTTTGCTAACAACAAAAATGTGGTCATCGACTTAAACCTGGGAGTAGCACAACAAGAATCATCCTGGCAAATTGCTGCACTATGGGTGTCGCCCACGCACGGGGGCAGTTCGCATCGACCTCAACCTTGCGAGAGGCGGCGATCGTAAAGAAGGCGGTAAACCGACAATATTATTATTATCCCAGCGGTGGGACTCTGTATGGCTATTGCTTAGCATCCGTCCGCGCAGTTCGGTGGGAGAAGCAGCTGTACGTGGCGTCGCACACGGGCGAGCGGCTGTGGGCCAGCCTGGAGCGCGACACCCAGTTCCTGGCGGCCAACGGCGTCATGGACTACTCGCTGCTGCTCGGCCTCAACCACAACACGCTCGTTCTCGGCATCATTGGTATCGTTATATTGCTCCACTGCTGTCGTTGTTCAACTGCTGTCGTTGTTCAACTGCTGTCGTTGTTCAACTGCTGTCGTTGTTCAACTGCTGTCGTTGTTCAACTGCTGTCGTTGTTCAACTGCTGTCGTTGTTCAACTGCTGTCGTTGTTCAACTGCTGTCGTTGTTCAACTGCTGTCGTTGTTCAACTGCTGTCGTTGTTCAACTGCTGTCGTTGTTCAACTGCTGTCGTTGTTCAACTGCTGTCGTTGTTCAACTGCTGTCGTTGTTCAACTGCTGTCGTTGTTCAACTGCTGTCGTTGTTCAACTGCTGTCGTTGTTCAACTGCTGTCGTTGTTCAACTGCTGTCGTTGTTCAACTGCTGTCGTTGTTCAACTGCTGTCATTGTTCAACGACTATCATTGTTCAACTACTATCAGTGTTCCTTAACTTTCATTGTTAAAGTACTATGAATGTTCCTTAACTGTCATTGTTCAACTACTATAATTGTTCCTTAACTCTCATTATTCCACTACAATCATTGCTCCTTAACTGTCATTGTTCAACTACTATCACTGCTCTTTAACTATCATTATTCCACTACTATCATTGCTCCATTTATGTAATTTCTCCACTGCAGTCGTTACGCCACTACAATCATTGCTCAAATGTTACATTTAACGACTTCTGGCATTTGATTTTATACTTGTCATTTATGTATTTAAATGATATTGGCTTCGGTCCACATAACTGAACCCATAGGTAGACTATAGTTCCATAATAATTTTGTTACGTCCATTGGCCCATAGATACGACATCATCATAACTAGTGATTCAACAGACTTCTGTATTCGTTTCTGCAACATTTAACGTGTAAAATATTAAAGGTCACTTTACCCTTATTTATAAAGAATACCCTAAAAAGCTATAAAGTTGACCAACTACCTTCCATAAAATTTAGCTAACCGTCACTGAACTTTCTCAATAATCATAACTGAATAAAGAAAGAGCCATTTACGCAAATATCTCCGTTTCCGCTTCCGTTGCAGACTACATCCGCACGTTCACCTGGGACAAGAAGCTGGAGCACCTGGTGAAGAAGAACCTGGGCTCCGGGCAGCCGACGGTGCTCTCGCCGGCGCAGTACCGCCACCGCTTCTGCGCGGCCGGCCGCAAGTACTTCCTGCAGTGCCCCTCCCACTGGGACCACCTCACCCACCTGGCGAGGAGCTCCTAACCCTGGCTGTAGACAATACCTCTTCTGGTTCGAGTGGTCAACCCCTTCCACACCTCTGCCTGTCCACTGTTTTTCGCTCCATCCCTCCACGTCACATCTCATCGTCAAGTCTTTGTGTGTAGCGAACCGCACAGATTACTTCAATATAGACTGTACGCTCACACAATGTTTATGTACCAAATTCATTTTTCTTATATGGTGTGGGGGAGGACTTAAATTGTATCTTTTCTTGTGAAGGGGAAATCAAGATTATAAAATTTTCATTACTTATATTTTAAATATATTTGAAAAAAACTATAAATGTGCAAATCACTTATCTTCAATTTATGAAGTATTAAATAGGAGCACGTTTCTGTACTTTTATTTAAAATTTATAAAAATATTAAGCGTTTTATTTTGCAAGCGTATTGGTATTGTATCGACAGGAGAATGTCACTGTACAGCTATAATGTTTGGTGTCACCAAAGATGTAGTGAATGAAAATCATTAAGAATTATAATTTTTCGTAATATGTGTATTTTTAAATAATATATTATAATAATTACTTCATTTTTTTTTTCACACAGAAAATGTCTCATTATAATGTACATAACTTATTTTCTTTCCGATGAGAAAACCCTTTACCACTACTTTATAAACATATACCGATATGTATATGTTATATACAGTCTGGAGTACTGAATCCAGATTAAACATGTGATAATTATATTAAGTATTATTTTATGTTAATCATGATCTGGTTATAATAATTGGTATTCTATTACCTATAATGTACATTCCCAGTGTTAAATAAATCTGTATATTGAAATAAACCGCAATTTTTTGTTTGTTTTTGTGAATAAAAAGTTTTAATTCCAAATCTTTTCAGCCTTTTTCTAGGGTGATTCTCACCCGTGCTTACAACGGATTGTATCCATTTACATTTGTTTGAGGAAGGCGCGGTTCTAGTTAAATTTTGGAAGAGGTTAAAGACTGAAGTGTTTAACTGTACATCATATTCTAGATAATAAAATGAAATGTTTATTTTATTAGCATATTAAAGATTTAAAATTATTGAAGCTTGAAAAACCTAGCCTGCCTTGCTCCAATTACGATGTCATACAATTATACAATCCTAATCATTCATACATTGTATTGATAAGAATACTACACAATATTAAGAGGATTTTTCCGATTTTAACCTTTAAAAGATGCAAATCCATGGTCATAGGCTACCATCCGTACAATTTCAATTTCAACTCGCCAACTTATCGAAGAGAACCATGCTATAACTGTTCCAGTCGGAATATACAGGGAGGCTTTTCTAAATCCATTTTTTAAATTAAATTCTAGACAAATAATGTTAAATAAAAAATGATAAATATTTAAAATCACTCGTAAGTCGTAAATAATTAATTACATTCATTTATGTACAACGATTATACTACCGAGGCTGAACCTCCTGTGTGAATTTGGGCACCTTTAGAAAAACCACCCTGTATATAGTAATCACTATTTCTCATAAAATTGTTGTTTCCATCTCATTTAATTGGTAATAGGTGTGAAATTGTTACATAATCAATATTTATTTCAATAGTCACATTAAATTTATTCCTATGATAAATAGGGGAACATAAATATTGACAAATTAAAAACGCACGCAGATATTATTTGAGTTCCATTATATCTTCTATTGACAAAATAATTACGAGGAATATTGTTTCAGGAAAAATTTCACAGTAACGATGATTCACCATTAAAACGGTTTATTTCACTCTTTTTTTTTAAATGGGAAATAATATTTCCACTTTGACGAAGTAGAATAAAATGTTATTCTATACTTTGCGAAAAATTTCGAAATATCACCTGTTACATAAAATAACAAATTTTATCTCATTGTGATGTATTTTGGATATTAATATAATATCACACAGCATTAATAGGAAAACATGTCATGTATATTGCAAAACAAATATTATACAAATTATCCTTTTTTCACAGCATTTATTTCCTTTCACATTTTCTTCAAATTGTTTTTGTGTTTTGAGTCATGAAATTACTGGTAAACTTAAAATATGATTCTGCGACTTTATACATAAAAAAAATTATAATTTAGATATTCTCAGCATATCTAGAACTAACCTTCATTTCATCACATTCCACAGGCAACTTACAATTTTTTTCTAAGCAAAAACAGTTTTATTTCACAATGGCATTATATATTCATGTAAAAATAAATAGCACAATTTTTCATTCTTCTAACATAATAAACACAGATCTTCATTTATAGTACAATCTAACATTACTCAGAGCATTGTTGACGAATCCCGATTTAAAATTTGTTTGTGTTGATAAAACTGAACCATGTGTCAAAATTAAATAAAATAAACTATGTCTCAGCACCAATGACCTCGTTTCTGTGCTAACTCATTTTGTTGATTATTTATAATAAAACTCCGCAATTGGAAATTAATAATGTTATACAGCGTGTCGTTACCACCGCGACAATAAATGAACATACGTCTAACGCTACTTGCCAATAATCATAAAAAAATATTAACGTAAAACAAAATCCATAATTTAAAAAAAAATATTTATCAAACAACCTACTTAAGTAAAAAAGAAACAAAATTTGTAACATCCTATAAAACTCGCGCTGCAGCGTCGTATTACAAGCCTCTCCTTCTAACAGTATGTTTTGTCTTTTTTAACTTCATTCAACCCATTCATATGCGTTGTGACCTTTACAAATGAACTTTACGTTACAGTTTTATAGGTAAGGCTGTTCTAAAATTCATTGTTTTGGAAAATTTAATAACTCTGTAACGATTGATGTTTATAGAATTTAAATGTTTAATACAATTTTAAAAAGTTATCCTCTATATGTGTTCATTTATTGTGGCGATGGTAAAGACACGCTGTATACACAATACAATCATAATAGCAAGTGGGTTGAAAGAAAATCTGTGATGAGGAATTCAATTACCTTAACTAGAAAAATAATTTATAAAGCTGCAATTCAACCTTGTATTTAAAAAGCGTACAAAATTATCTTTACATAAATCACATTGGATAAAAAAACACAAGAAATTATTCTGTGGGATTTCCATGCCCAGACTTAATATAAATACTCCAGTTCAAGCCCAACCAATATTTTATCGACAAATTTGGTCACATTTGAAAGTATTAACTTGGGGTCATCCTAGAGTTTAATCATCAATTCAATAACATGACTCAGCTGTACCAATTACATATTTTAGTCAAGTTGCCTTCAGTCACATGAATCAGAACTCCTTGCAATTTTGACACAGCAAAATGGCAGCCAACATCAAACGATAGAATGGAGGAGAAGGAGGGGGGGATGTCACACGTCCGTACCAAGTAATTGAGTGGTTAAAACAATCATTTATGTTTGTTACATCGTTAGGTAAAACACTATCATGTAGGATCGAGCGTAGAACTCAGTGATTTGAGTTGCTCTAGTCCCGCTAGGAGCTCTCTGAAAACAGAAAAAAAAACTTTACATGGCCTGAACTTAGAATAAACATATCTGTTCAAATAAAATCTCAGAGTTACCCAAACTCATTTAGTTCTAAACATGAACAGTGAGCCGCGATAGTTCATTGTCTAGGCGCTCGCTTTCAATTCAATACATTCAAGCAACCCAAGTATGATCCCTGGATGTACTTTTAGCAGATTTTTGAAAGGAAAACATCGCGAGAAAACCTGCATAGTTTCGAAATTCTTCTCACATAAAGTTAGTGGTAGGGCCACGCAGCAGCCTCGGCTGTTGCACGAATGGGCAGGCTCGTCCGGGTAAGTACCGCGACCTCACAGAAGACCGGCGTTAAGTGGATGTTTAATACTTTCGAGTTTCGTCTGGTGAGTGAGGTGGCCGGAGCCCAATTTTCAAAACGTTGTCAACGCATCTGCAAACCCTCAGGTGTAGATGTCCATGGGCGGTGGTATTCACTTGGCATCAGGTGAACCACCTGCTCGCTTGGCAACTTTTCACATGAAAAAAAAAAAAAAGGAAAAGGCACAGACCTGAGGGAGGTCTCGGCGAGGCGGGAGGCGCGACGCAGATCGGATGCTGCACCCACTTGGGTGTCGCGCAGAGATCGCACTTCCTCCTGTGATGCTCGCAGTTGCTCCTGAATGCAATCACACCAACAGATATAATGGAACATGCGTGATTAGGTCTCGCCCTCTGAGTGTTATTCTTTATTGAAGAAGAAGAAGAAACGTTTATTCACGGTCTAAAAACAAATGAATACATACAAAACTTAAAAATAATAATGTAACTACACAGAAGCTTAAAATAAATGTAAACATAAAAATAAGCAAACAAAATAACAACAGTAAGTGACGGTCTGTGTAGCAACATAAGACCGTCAAACAGACGGGACTCGGTAAAGATCGCACTTCCTCCTGCGATTCTCGCAGTTGCTCCTGAATGCAAACAAACCATTAGATACGATGGAACATACGTGATTCGGTCTCGCCCTTGAGGGTCATTCTTTATTGTACACAAAATCTATACAATAAATCTCCATGTCTTCTGGCTCTAAACGTAAAGTCTTCAAACTTCAAATATGATTGAACATAGAAGCTCATATTAATTGAAATGTGAATTAAATAGATTTAACATTCTCAATTGGTTAGGTGCGGGACTTTAGCATTAATAACAAAAATAGTTTACATACAAAATAAATTAATACATGTACATTCCAACAACAATTTAATGCTCATCTAACACTTATTGATGTAATGGCCACCGTTACATTTGTAAATTTTAATGTTAAATTGCTCTGAGATTAGAAGATGAACTAAATAAAATAACTTACCTTCAGTTTCTTTATTTCGTTTTTTAATTTAGCAACAGCTTCGGGATCTGCAGTTCTCGGCTGAAATTGTTTTAATAGGAATATTAGTTAGAACATATTGAGATACAGATAATTTTTGGTCAAATTTATGGTGACAAATATCGGTTCTATCAATCAAGATATTTATATAAATGAGGCCATAGAAAATTCAACACATTCCCAATGCATTGCATTGCATTAATTTTCCACCATGCATTCAAATAATTCTTGGAAGCACTTAGGTATCAGCATAGAGCTGAAGACAAACATTACACTTACTGTAGGATACATTTATCTTGTATTATAAGGTTTTACATACATTAGTTTCAGGTAGACAAACACCCAGAACTGAAACAATTATCCGTGGGTCATGCAAATGGTTTTCCTGGGTGGGAATCAATCCCACCAGCCCCGGCACCGAAGCCAATGCTTGGTAACTGCATCACAGAGTCATAATCTTTCTTCGAGGGGAAGAAATAGGCTTATAACCCACCCTTATGATCTTCATGGTCATGGGTGGTTAGGACATTGCTTGTTTGACTCCTTTCTATAAAAAAAAGGTCTTCCAGAGAGAATTGGGGCTTAGACAAATTATTTACTACTCTCTCAAGCTACATAGAGATGTATAATGAGTAGTCATTGGATTATAATTTATGCAATTGCTTGTTTGACACTAAAAACATTGGAGTCACAAGTGTGCCACCAGCCCTTGAGGTAGGAGTAATAAAGGTATCAATATTCTATCTACAGATAGATTAGCTTACTGGGGATAAAATTTTGACGTAAGTATTACGGGGCTAATGTCAAATACCTGTAGATAGAAACCAAATCTATTTGTAGATGTAATACTGAAACCAGCCACCGAGGGCCTTTAAGGTAATAGTAGGCTCTCTTCTTGAAGGTCTCTAAGCCACTGACTGCCTTTGAGGTAGGAGTAGGCTCTCTTATTGAACATCCCCAAGTCGAATCTCACCGAAGTTTCCGGTGAAGGGGCGGGAGGGGGCGGTGGGGGGACGCACACGTGCTCCCGCAGCGCTCTATCCGTCTGAGCGAGGCGGGCGCGAACATTAGAGGCTTCCTCCTCAGCGCGGCACCGCCTACTCCGCTCAGTGAACAGCTCCGATCTACACGCGCGGAAAAAGAACAACGCCTGAGATACACAACCCAAAGAGAACTCTGTCCAAGATGCCAGATGTGTTTAAACATTAAAATTTGTAATTATTAAATGTATTTTTAATATGCAATTTGTAATTTAGATTGTATTTAAATTCTTTAGAAATCGTTGACGGAAAGCTTCACGCCGTTGCAGAAATCGAACCCGCGTCGTCCGAATTCACGCCCATAGGCTTCAACCACTAAGCCAAACGGTTAATTTCCACACCGACGAAACCATGGGTGTAGTATCCACCATTCAAATAAAAAAAAATCATTGTTTTTTTTTTGCATTTTAAGCGGTGCTTGGCACATCTGTTGTTATAATTATTTATATATTTTTTCATCAAATGTTAATGTTTCATCATTAGCACTATAACTGAATTTAAATATCAGATGTGATGTTTAATAGTTTTCTTTCATATTTAATATTCACTTCCACGATAATACAATATTATAATATCCATTAACATTCAACGCTATTACTACTATAGTTTACGCGGCTATTTAGAGATAGATTGCTGATGATGCATTTAGGTTGTTTTAATGAAATCACTTTATTATCAATGTTTGTTAAGGGTTATAATACTGCTTAATCACAAAACATTAAAAAAAATTAAAGGTATTTTCACAAAACTAAGCACTTACATCATGTCTACATATCAAGGAGTAAGTTTTAAAAGGACTTAAACAAAGTCATTGCAAGACATGGCAGTCAAAGTTTCCAATTGGAGTGAGATACTTAATAGATTAGATTTTTAATACCTGGTTCTCTCCAATTCATTAATTATTTGCTGTAGCTGCTCGTCTTGATGCTCAGGTTCAGGGGATGTTCGACCGGGATGCACCGGAAGGAAATCTGGTAGCCGCTTAGATTCCGCACCTAACAAGTGTTAAAGTATTCAAAATAATTAAAATACTGTATTATCAAAATACAATATGATAGTGAAAAGGTTTAAAATACGAGACAAAAGTTGATAATTAGTTACAAGATAAGTTACACAAATGGTTATTCATCCTATTATTGATCTATTAAAAAAAAAAATTATCAAATATATAACTTACAATAAAAAATATCCCATATTTTACATGTGATGAGAAAGATTCTATCTTGTTACTATAATATTTTAATTTTAAACCATGGTAAAGCATACATAAGAAATGTTTATAGAGTAAAGACACAGACAGTATTTAGGAAATTCTAATTAATTAATTCATTTATGTAAAACCTTAGTGATAAGGATAAATAATCTAGACAACAGGTTGTTTCATGAAAATAATGTAATTACGATTATTTATGCAGCTACTTTCTATAATGTATTTAATTAGAAAAGAAAAAATTGTGTCTAAAAATATATATATTATATACTTTTAATAATTGTATTACCTAAATCTGAATGATCCATTTTTTAAGGTACACTTTATTTGTGAAAAAGACATTGAAGGAACCATTAACTCTTATTTAATTTAATGTTATTTAAGTAGTATTAATTACTACTTCGAAAATAACGTCTGACGCTACTTACCAATAATCTTAAAAAAATATAAAACGTTAAAAAAATCCATAATTAAAAAAATATATTTTTCAAACAAATTAATTAAATAAAAAAGAAACAAAATTTGTAACATCCTCTACAACTACAACCGACTGATTCATACATTCAGAAGCGTTTTCATTTGTTGCCAAAACGTCGCATTAGAAGCCTCTCCTTCTAACAGAATGTTTAATCTCTTTTAAATTCATTCAACAAATATGCTTTGTGAACTTTTTACGTTACAGTTTTATACGTCAGGCTGTTCTAAAAATGTTTGTTTTGTAAAGTTCAATAACTTGGTAAATATTGATGTTTAAAGAGTGTAAATGCTTAATACAATTTTAAAAAGTTATCCTCTATATGTGTGTGTTCATTTATTGTCGCGGTTGTAACGACACGCTGTATAAGTAGGAATGTAAACATTTTATATGTTATGTGTCAAATAAATATTTCTTCCTTAATTTTAATACAAATTTATTATTTTTAAAAGAGCACAAGTTCTGTGTAATGTTAATGCTTTGACCTCACATTTATGAGTGTGGAACAATGGATTTTTATAATATGAAATGCAATTTATTGCCCCATGAATAATTCAATATTTTGCACACTACTAATTAGTTAATATTGAATTATTTAAAAAAAATAGTTTCGAACATTCTTGAACATAATATAACAGCATAAAGCATAAAGGTTAAAACTTACCATAGGGGAACATTTCAAAGAGCTTCAATGAGTAATGTTGATAATGTATGCTCCTTTAGTACTCAAATCAATCATTAAGTACCTGGAGGTTTATTTTTTGGTAAATCGTTTATTTTGGAAATTACATTTAGATACAAATTACTGAGTAATGAAATATGCATAATATCTTTCGATCTTACCCGACGCAATAATAAGAAAATATGAACTGGTGTTTTTCACAAAAGAAAGAACTTTAAAAAAAAAGGATGGACAAAAATAAAAAATAAAGAAAGCAATGATCTGAAATCGAAACAAAAGTAAAAAATAAGTATGTAAATGATCGTGACACGAACAACAGCCTTCTGTTTCGGGGCCGCCCGATTACCGACCGAGCTATTATAACATTTTTTTCGGCGAAATTTACCGTCATATTCGAATGATATTTTTCATTCCCTGAAAACAGGGATAAAACTACGTTTTCTAAAAATGAAACCTAGCTAGATCGATTTTTCGCCCCCGAATCTACGCACTCACTAAATTTCATGAAAATCACTAGATATTTCATGAAAATTTCTGAAAATCGCTGTATATATATATATAAGCATTGCTCGTTTAAAGGCTTATCCTTTTTATAGATATATGTCAATATGAATAATATCAGTTCGGCTTTACAGATACTTCATAAATTGTCATGCACAATAATTTCTAATGTAATAGATATGTAAGAGATAAGAAAACAATTTTTGACAAGAATAATTCCCTTAACAATGCACATACACTTGTATTTCCCATATTTGTTTATTAGGTTTGTGGTACTTACGTATTAACGCCACCGCAGTAGAATAAGTTGCGCCTATACGCCAATAGAGTGCAATCTTGTTGTTCGCATGTGCACGCAGTTATTTTAAATGATAGAGAAAAATCGCTAATGAATTTATCAACAAGCAGAATTCGTGGGTCGCATATAGTTTTCGAAAAAATAAATAATGAAATAGTGTGATTTTTACTATAGAAATCCGCCATTTTTTTGTTGTCAATATGTCAATTCTACTCGTATTTCTTGGTGGTCTTGGATCTCCGCTCCCGCCTGAACCTTCTAACCTAATCTATCCGAATTGGATTCGCTTTGTGTCAGTTCTGTGACTCAATTCTACTGCGGTGGCGTTAATACATAAGTACCAGGTTTGTACATTTTAATTTAAATTACCTGCATTAGGGGGTAAATCCAATGGAAAAGTATTTCTTGGCGATATGTTCCTCCTATCTGATGGATTAACAGATTCAGTTAGGTCCAAGCTTAGATGCATAGGATGATCGATTGGTATGGGACCAGCAGCTTCGGCACCAGCTGGCAAATCAAGTGGAATGTTACGGCTAGATATGCCCGAAGCAGATGTTGAAGCCCCCCTATACTCATCATAATTGTAGCCTCTATTTCCACTATAATTATTATCACTTCTCCTTCCTAATGTGGGTGATGAGCCAGCATTGTATGTAGTGTTAAATGTGAAATCTGGTAGATTATCCAAATCCAACGACATGGGTCCATTTGAATGTAAATAAGCTTGCTCCACTAATATATGATCCTGAACAAAGTCTGGCAGGGATGGTATACCCATTGGCTCTGATGCCAGATTAGGCCTATGATAGAAGGGTGCATCAGAGTTTTCGGAATAAAAGTTGCTCTTAGAATTCGAGTTCCCTAATATACTAAACGGCACGTCCATAGAACTAGTCGAAGGTGTGTTATCACTGATGCGATGACTGACGCCGTCGCTTTTTTCTTTGGTTTTATTCTCAATCAGGCGGTTCCTCTCTCGTTTTGAGTCTGTGTGAACATCTATTTTTGTTGGCGAATGTTGCACTGTGTTCGCATACACCTTGGGCCTGGCACCAGTGTTCTCGTATGTAGAGTTGCCCGGCAACGAGAGATCTCGTTTTAGAAAATGTCGAAAGGAAAACGGATTCTCTTCCTTGCGCACTGCTCCAGTTGACTCTGTTAACGGTTACATTATTTTATTAACACTGTATAAATAACTGGCAAGAAACAAATTCGTAAAACACTTACTTGTCGAGGAACATTTTGGCTCTGTGTGTGATGCGTGACCATTTTCCTTGCTATTAAATTTTGTTTCTTCGATCCCTAAGTCGGGCTTTGTAGAGTTTTGTTCGTTTTCTTCGGAAGACCCTGCATCGTTTGAATTTTGTGGGGAATTTTTATTTGAAACACCGTCTTCGTCCTCCGCCATGATAATAAGAATGACAGTTGATAGTATTTTCTGTCCAGAAACATGGCACCACTTTTATATCTTATTTTGTTCAATGTTATTTTCGTTGTTTATTTGATGGTATGATGATTCATATTTATCAATGTTTATTATAAAATGTTTTAAATTTAAACGTAGAAATGTTATTAAAAAAGTACGTTATTATAAATATATAAATGAAAAAAAAAGACATCTTGTAGTTTTAAATATATTAGCAATTGTAATACGTTATTTTTTCATATAATAACCATTTGTGGCGACTGGGACTCCAGGACGGACCGCTCCGAGCTCAAATGCAGAAGGCGGTGCTCCTCAATACCGCCCGCATCCTCCGCCGGTTTCTCTCCCTTTCGCCCTAATCCTCAGCACTTTGGTCTCACCTGCCGAGGACTTCCATCTTGTTGGGTCCTATTTATATATTTATTGTAAACAATATCTATGTATATGTTTATTTTTATTTATAAAGAGCCTATAAAGAGCCAGACGCCTTTTTATTTCTCATCACCTAAGTATTACATGTAAGTAAATAAAATTTTCACTTACGACTATTCATGTAAGTATTGTTTTGTTTTATTAACCCCTGTTGGTATAGACCTTCTCCAGTTTAATCCAGTTTTCCCTATATTTCGCTTGCTTAATCCACTTCTTGCCGGCTGTAGCTGATGTCGCATCTTATTTTTTTCATTTTTCTTATTTTTAAGGGGCTTCTTTACATTGCTTTCTGACAACTCACTAATTTTGTTTTTCGTTTTCACGTTGTAGGTCCTATCTGGCATCCATACGTGAGACTCGGAAAACGCATGTATCCATCAAATTTTTTAAGTGAAGCGGATAGTCAACTTTTATAATTTCTATAAGGGCCCAGTATTTTTTCCAGCTCAATGGGGCGTTATTCTTCTTCCTCGTTTCTGTCTTGGAAAGATATTTATTTTCCTAGATATATGTATTTATTTACGTATTCCATTGTCTCTCCTTCGAGTTTTATTATTTTTTGAGTAAATGTTTGTCATAAGTTTTGTTTTATCTTTACATGTCAGAAGATCTACTTTTGCACAATAAATGATAAATCATTTAACGAACAAAGTAGAGTTAGAGACAAAGTTGACAAAGTAGAAACCTAGAGTTTCTGCTGTTTACAGCGAATAGGACTAAGTCATCTGGGAACCTGAGCTGACTTAGATGTTGTTTGCCAATTTTAATACTTTCGCTTTCCCATTGCAGGTCCACGAAGATGTGTCGCAGCACTGCTATAAAATTTTTGGGTGATAGAGGATTTCTTTGCCTTATTCCGCGTAAAATCGGTATTTCCAGTCCTCGTCGCTCTAGTTTTACACAGGTGGTACTATTGTAGTATACATTTTTCAGGATATTAGAATACTTTTCGTGGACGTGGCATTTGTTTAGAGCCTCCCGTATTGCATCATGTAATATTGTATATAATGCTTTAGCCTAGTTTTTCATATAGTCGTATATATAAATCTTTATATGTATAATTCTTCTGTACGTTTCACTGAACTCCTCCCAAACGATTTTAATGAAATTTTTTGTTTTCTTAAGGTCGATTCGAGAATGGTTTAGATTCACAATTCGGTCCACTACAATTTTCCTTTATTTTGTTAATTTATTAATTGTCGGAGTTAAGCGTGTATAGGACGTCTGTCGGGTCCGCTAGTATAATATATTATTTAAAGTTATACTTCCATAACATCGAAACAAATATGAAATTATGTATCATATTTTAAGTGCCCGTTATTAGATGTAGCAAATACTCTGTATGAATTAGTGAACTTATTTATTAAGGTTGTAACGGACGGCATAATCATGTTTGATTAAACCTTTAAAAAAATAAGGAAAAAAATAAAGTACCGGGTTCCGGTTAAATCATGGAATATTTTATATAAATTGTAATCTGACTAACCCGCGCTCATGAGCGAGAAGAAGTCATATGTACTTACAAATTGAATAAAAAAAGACTTAAACTTAACCTACCACAGGGTTTTCAATTATTATTACTAGCAACACAAAAGACAACTACTCCCGGCAGACGTTGAAAAATCGAAATTTAAGCAGTAATACGGCTGTCTAAAATTTCGGGTATTGTTCATATACTTCTGGGCAATTAGAGTTCAAGCTAAATTATTGGTATAAGTTTAAGGCTTTTTCGTATAGACGAAAAGATTATGATCCAGTTGTTTTTAAAGTATTAACCTACTCTAGGGTGAAATGGTTTTTGCTATCTGTAGAATATACAGATACTTGTCCCAGAGGGGAATCGAATCCACGATCCACGATCCACGGTGTGGAATTCTATTGCCTAACAACTGAGGATGCGACGGCACTTCAACTGAGATAATGCGTGGAGGACTGTTACCATATTTGGGATAGCGCTGTTAAATGTTATTACTAGACCTTGATAGTCCGTGATACAAATTTGGACAAATATGTATAATGAAATGTTAAAAGCTAAAGAAAGTTGATGAAATGTAAATAAAAGACGAACACTTTTGGCGTGTATTATGACTATATTATACACATTGACAGAATGAAGTCATATACAGTATAGTTTTACAGCGGGTACTTTTTTATTATTATTAAAAACAACACAAAATAAATTCGTTTATTAATAAATGCATATTTGTATTAACAAGTAGTAAGGATTAATTTATAGAAAAATAGTGTAATACGTGTACGAGCATGAACATCGAGCTTTAAAAGCGTCACACGTTTTTTTTTACAATTTATATTTTAGAATGATTCGCTTATTATTTAAGAGTTGTTTTACCCTATTTACACATACTGAATCTCATAAAAAAATAATTTAAATTAAATTCAATCGACATAAAAAGTTATTTGGCACTCTTACGATGCAGCAGCCAAAATGTAACGTAACGAAACATGAATACCTTTGTACAGTATAAATTTCTGTTTCCGTGTTGTTAAGAAAATTTCTTATGCAATATGATAGTCGTATAGTCTATTTCTAGGCCAGGGGCGATTTTCATTTATTCCTAATGATTAATGTGAGATTGTTCAACCTATTGTCGCTCTCAGGGATGCCAACATTTTTTTTAAAACGACGACAAATAATGAATTGTGAGATAAAGCTATTTTAATCTCTGATTGCAGCTTGCAGTTACCCGTCTTAATGGTTTATGCTATATGGATCGTGGAAAGGAGATAAATACTAGCCGAGGCATGTTTCCTAAATGACCACCGAATATCTTGATGGAAATTTTGTTCTCTAGAGCAGAAGTATAGATCTCTACGTTTGGGAAGTGCAAGATACAAACAAATTATTAAAATTAAACCAATTACAACATATTATTTATTAATTCTTTAAATGTTATAAATGTATTGAGGTTCGTGGAAAGAGTTTTCACACGCAATAATTCATTGTAAAATTACATTATGTCAAAATGTCCATCATTGTATCTTTGTAACATTTTTAATCAAAATATTTTTCAAAAAGTATACAAATCTTATATTGATTTGTGTATTGATATTGGATTGACAAACGCAACTAATACAAGAACTTTTTGTAACAAATTTAGACACCACTATATTATGTACCATGTTTTATGCGAATAAATTATTATTATTATTATTAAAAAAAAAACTATAAATGATTGTTGAATGAATAGATGATTTCGTGGCATAGTAGAAACAAAACGCCAAAAAAGCTTCGATGTCGAATATCATTGAATATGGCACAAATCGTTGTTGTATAAAAACTATCGAATACATCATGACAAATATTAAAGAAACAAATATTTCAGGAGTTAAATAAAGACAAACAATAGGTAGTCTTTGGATGTTCAAAGGAAGAACAAATGAGACTATAATATTAGTAACAAATTCAATATGTTCTATATTGTGTCTGTAAAATCACATGTAATTTTAGGCTAGGATTACATGAATTCCTTTAAAATAATACTATTGACCAAAGTGACTATACGTCGCCTCGTATTTAAAGTAGAAAATTTCCCATCGATTAAACAGAATAAAATATTCAACAACAAATCACTAGTTTTATTTTAAATTTTCTTGCCTGCAAACTTAACAACGTATAAGTAGTATTTCAATTTTTTATAGTGCTAATCTCTGCACTTAAGATTGAACATTAAAATTTGTAGAAAAAAATAATAATTAAAAAACGTTTATATTTTTTCCTTGGATATTATCGTGATAGAACATAAGAGGATTATCACGATTATTTATTTTAGGCATTTCCTTACATTATCTCAATTCTCGTTAAACTATACAGAGTTTTAGTACACAATCTACTAATAAGTAACAACTCTACAATAATTTAGTCTCAACGTCATAAGAATAAAAACCATTTTCCTTTGTCTACTTTTCATACAATGTTGCATCAAGCAGAGTCTGTGCAGTCAAAGGCAAAAGAGTTACAACAAAAATCAATTTGTATCAGTATACGAATTTTTCAGTTTTTTTTTAATACGCCTTAGCAACGTACATTACAAACAGTAATTAGCATGGGGGAACAAAATATATAATTTTAAATCCATAATAAATGCATAAAACAATCTATCAGATTTTTAAATGTATTCTTTTGTCTATGACCGTAGGCACTGGCAACATTAAAAAATCTAATTATAAACTACACAGGTATCTATAAAGTACTCTGATCGGCTAACTGTAGAGAAAATATTTTGAAAAATAGTTATCTCCTTAGGCGTCACTACGTATATACAAATTTACATTTCGTATTCACAAAACAAGCGGCAATGTCTATGGAAAATGAACCCTGCACAGGTTGCACAGAGCTTATATTGATGCAGAGTTGTACACGCAAATTTACTCCACCGTTTATCTAGCGATTATCTGCTATACGTTGATAACACGCGATAACGACGAATAAAAGTACAATTTTTACACACAAAAGCGGCTTATCCGTCCCTATTTAGATTAAGTTGACGTGTGATAACATTATGATGGAACGTGTAATGAGAATAGTACGATTTTTTCTGCGATAGCGTGCTTTATTACCGGGTATCTGTGTATCATGTTGCCAAAGGTTGTCTATACAATAAAATCAACTGGTATCTGTATTCGTTGATACTATTTAAATGAACCTTGTTCGGGTTTTTAAGCAAAGAGGCGTGGTTGTTTGTAATAGAAAATGAAACTATCTAATATCGAATGATAATAGTTTATTCCTGTGTAATTATTCCCTTTAAATAAGCGAGTAAAATCCCTTTAAATAAATCCGGCCATAACGCAATGTAAAAAGACGCCATCTGTTATCCAAAAGCAAAACGATACAAAAGCATGATCATTATTCAATAAACTAAAACTGGCCATCACAAATTCCGTTGAAAAAAAAAACAAGTCATCGCTTGATTTAATCTTTTTTCGCAAACATGTAAATAAAGCGCCGGAAAAATTTTGGACGGTCTCCAATAACTTTCATGCATCAAAACAAAAAATATTTGGGCCCAGAATAAACAAGATCCGACCGAGAGCCCGTCCAGCCCCCGCCAGCGGAATTTTGTTGTTGCGATGAACGTTTTCACTCAGGATTTATGTCGTAAACAAGTTAATATAATGTCGCCATAAAAACGAAAATAATTCTCTGCGTTGGGCGCTACTCGTACACACGCGTTGTGGAAAGATTTATAATAACGCTACTATTTAAACTTAACATTGTTACACTTAACATGATTATTGTATGAGTGAATGTCATTTTGAATCTATCAAACTTATGTTTTTGATAAAATAATTTTAAGAAGCGATTATTCTCGTAATGCTTGGACTATTTAAATCAATATTGTATACAAAATACAAGAAATTATTATATTGAATATTGCCAACAAAAATACTCGATACAGCTGATATCTGTTCGGCGACCATGTTAGATAGATTCGCTAACGTACTAAAATTCTAAAAATAAGTAAGAGTATTCGGACCGAACTAGTACAGAATTTCAGTATAACCCTCTCCTCGCTAGTTTCATCTGCGCCACTGTTAGAGATCGTGATTTATTATAACCAAATTTTGTAGAGGATTTAAGTATATGTAACATTCATAGACCATATTTAACACAGGGGATTTTAAGGGAATTTAACAAATTTACCTTTCACAGAAAGAAATGTTTTCACTGTATTACATACAACTAGGTAAATGATGTCGGTTACATTTCGCCGGTAAATAGAATGTTATTTTTTTACGTTATTTATAATATTTACATTTTTATTACATTATTAGCTTAGAAATTGTTACCGTATGTATTCATTTTAGCAGAATGTTGCGTGGAAAGTTTCATATAATAATAAAACGTGAAATGTAAACAACGCGTGTAAGCAGCGGCCTCGCGAACAGAATTTACCTTCGTTGGGGTGACCACAATTGAAATTTTTCAAGGACTTTATTTTATTATGATTTTTTAAATAAGCGAATACTTCCCGTTTTGATAATAGTAGATACTTTACGGATTTCATTGCGTTTAGTTTTTTGCCACGGATACGGGGTATTTAAGTATTTGTTATTATTATAAATCGAAAATTTAACGAAAGTTAGTTTCCTTAATACTTCAGGTTGTCTTAATAGTTGGACTATTTATCCACCGCCCACAGCACATGTAAGCCTATCGTGATAAATTGAGTATTATTTTAAATACCTACTTTCGAAGTTGTTCCCAAACAGACATGGCCAAATTCAACAAATTTATTAGTAGCTTGTAAAGGCTAAAAGGACGGTATTCAGAATTCCCTCAGTATATTGATTCTGTTAAACACTTTAGTACTCAGTAACTTTTGAATTTTGAATAGTTTCTAAGAATCATATCTAATTCGTCACTCATCGTGACTAGTGTGATAAGTTTGTAAATTATATTTATTATCATTTAATTATAATCAATATGATTAACAAGCACGAATCAGTATATAAGACAGAGAGTTACCGTGCTTTATTTAAGAAGAAGTTTTTGATTCTTGTTAGAAATATTTCGAGAAAATCTACTTCACTTATGGTCACCCTATTTAGGCGTTACAAGTTAAAATGCTATATTCTATATCCGTCCAAGGATATCCGAGTAAATTACGAACAAAAGTGCTAACAAGGAATTCTTATTACACGCTATAGCCACAATGTTACCGACCAAGTGGGCAAGTTCTGAGCGAGACGATAATAACTATCGATAAATCTAAAATTACTATCGTCAATATATTATTCGATTATTCGACACGTCTAATATAACAACTACTATTTATAAGAGAAATGACGATCACAAGGTTTAATACCGATAGATGTAACATGAAAACTCATCGTTTGCACATACTATTTTAATCTTCCTAAACCGATAGATATATTATACGATACGATACTATTTTTCGATATAGTTTCATAGAAGCTTGAAACAAAATTCCTCACGGTCAACATCGAATCGGATTTGAAATTATGACGAGCATTATTAAGAAAGAAGTTTTATAGTTTTATGAAATATACCTACAGGTATGTTCGATATTAATTGTAACAAAACTTATGTGTAAAACCTCCTCCATTTTTGAAGTCGGTTTAAAATGGAAAAAAATTACGGTACTATTTCGATATGAGTCATCTTCGTCATTAACCTCTATGATGATGATGTAAAGATCAATAAATCCATTAGAATAGCAGTGCATTCTACTATTTTATTAGATTTATTATTAATTGAGGCTTGGAACTTGGGTCGTCCGAAAATATTCGGTTACGATAATGAACAAATCTCAAAAGCAATATAAATAGCATTCTTCATTATTACACATACCGCCTGCTCAAATTAATTTATTTCTCATATGACACGTCAACTTTAATTACGATTAAGCTCGCTTTCGTAAATTCTTTTTAAATAATACTGAACATACCAAACACTAAGCTAATGCAACGAAAAGATAAATAATATCGGTTTTCTTGTTTGGTGTGTTATCGACGTAAGGAATTTCGATTCGAGTTGAAGATGGAAATTTGTCAGAATACGCTACCCGGGACATTTGCTTTTTGATCAATTTTGGGGATGAGCTTGTCACTTGTCATGTTCGAGATTGAAAAACAAAAGAATAGGTTATTTCAATATTTAAAAACTCTCGTGCCTACGTATATTTTTTACAATTCCCCAGAACTGGTACGACAGGCATACGTTATCGTTATGATCAGACTTATGATTCGAATGGTATAAACTTTAAACAACAAAACATTTTTGGTAGAAGCATCAACGCTGTATTTTAAATGAAATAATGGACCGAATTAAAAAAGCTAAAAGCATTATCGATAACTGGCACAAAGCAATAGAATCGCGTATGTAATAAAAAAAAAGAATAATGTGCGTAATAAAGCGCGGGACAGATATATCTCGGCCGGATCGCATTAAATTCGGGGACTCTGGCATGGGCTGGCAGGGCACGGCGCTGCAATTGGGTCACGGTACTACGGTTGTACGTCTACGCGGGTTCGTGCGTGGAACACGGGCCGATGCGATTTATATTTGGAACGTGACTTTTCGAAAAACGTTAACGGCCAGTTTTGAGTGTAAATGAAAGAGGTTTCGTGATTAGCCTTTTTGATTTCGGAATAGACCGTATTTAATATTACAGGCAAAATATGTTTAAACCGTGGTGAAGGAAATATAATATGAGATAACCGTAATTAAAACGCCGATCACTGGGTAATAATGGGGAATTAAATGGAAATCGAAATACAAGAGACGGTTGCCTTAAGTTAATTTCAATAATCAATTCAAACAAATACTCAATCAAAAATCAATTCGTAGATAATTCCTACGTCGTACATAAATCATATAGACAGTGGTAATTCAATTTCGTCAAACGAATTGGTAGATAAATACGTGAGTACATTCAAGAGTGACTCGAACTAAACTCTTCTAACGAGTAGCATTCTGACAAATGACAGTCCGTGAACTCCCACGACCGCGGGTCAGGCGTGAGTGGTCGAAGGTAATAAAGCGGTTAGCCTCTTTGAGGCGCACGTAAATTAATATCACAGGAGATTGAGCCCAATCGCTTCACACGTAGGTCTCATGTTCGCAGGCGCAGGGGCGCCCGGGGGCCGTCCACTAGCTGGACCTCTCGGAAGCGCTGTCCAGCTCTGTGGCCCGCGCCGTGGGCTAGCTGATGGACGAGCTGCTGGAAGTGGACAGCGTGTCGCGGCCCAGCTCCGCCGCCATTATGGCGATGGTTAGCTCCTTGCGCGCCTTCTGCACCACCCACACCATCAGCGTTATGCCGATCAGGATCTGCAAGTTCGGAAGGGGGGTTCGATTTTCAAATTGCTTCGGTTATACTCTGCTGTTGCTTAAATAGTCCCACTATTTTGGGGGAGTACCCTACCGTTTTGAAATATAGGCGCATTTCGTCTGGTCAGCGAGTTGCCCAGAATAGAAGTAAGGTATATGAGGTAACTAAAAAAAATAAAGTAATCAGACTCAATAGATCATCCATCATAGACAAATCCAACGTGGGCCATGCTAATCATATATAAAACCACTTCGTTTTTGTTCAGCCTGGTCGAGAAACTTATAATTTTCACGAACAGGAAAACACCAGTAATGTTTCAATCTGTAATCTCTTGTGCATCGACGCAATGGCCACGGTGAACAAATGCGTTGTAGCAAGTTCATTTCTCAATTGAGTACCAAACGTTGCGTATTTATATGGGATTTTTCCAACGACCGGATAACCTAGTAGTATTGGTTCGCTTATCGGTTCCGATATTTCAATTGCGTCAATCAAACGGCTAATGGGAAAGTAACGATCGGCAGAACGAACCAATTGTTAACAGTGTAGGCGGCACGTGTTTTTAATATGGAGGCGAATGAAAATTTCGCACCGGAATTTGAACCGATACGGTACTAGAAGCCACACAAGCCTATACAAGTCCCACTGCCGGCCATAGTTCTGTATCCATCATCAAAATTTGCATGTTTCCTCACGATGTTTCACTTCGCCGCTGAGCACGTGATAATTCAGCCTCGTCTGTACATAGGGTATCAGAGTCCACCAGGCGGCCCCACTGCGGATTGGCAGACTTCACATATTTTCGAAATATTTTTTTTTTAATTATTATTTAAGAATACGCAGGTTTCCTCACGATGTTTTCCTTCACCGCCGAGCACGTGTTAAGTCAGCACTTAAAATTATCACTTTAATTGATGTTAGCACCGGGGATTAAACTCAGCTTGCCCTAGAATATTCAATTAAAAGCGAGCGGTCGGACACTGAGCTATCACTTCTCTCGGTTTTCTAATGACTGTTATTATATTTTCAAACAGAATTCTTTAGAGTGAATAAGAATCAAAAGAAATATGTACATATCGACGTAACGCGGGAGGCGAGACTCGCTGTAGCCGGGCGAAGGTCGGCCAATGGCCATACGTCAATGCATTGTGTGCCCATCGAGTCTGATTGGACGTGGCGCCAAATTGATACAAGTTTGACGACCGTACGCCGAGACGGTTGACACTACAACATCTTTCTACTGATCAAATTTATCTACTGTAGAAATAATAACACGGTATGATAATAGACCTGAATACGAATAGTTATTTAACTTACGCTAATAATGGTACTTAAAAGCTAGATAGAAAATTGTTTTATGTTAGCAGATAACTTGATTCTACATTATTGCTTTCTCCTCTGTGTATCAATCAATTTTCTTTTGTTTGTTTGTAAATAGCTATTGAAGAGGTTTAGTTTTATCAATAAACTTTTTCGCAACAGTTTTTTCCTTTCAACTTTTTTACGATACTCATGTATTTTTCATTTTTAATATATGTATTTTCATTGTAACTGTGTTCAGGAACTCTCTCGGTCTCTATTAATATTAGGTATTCCGACGCTCTATGTTCGACGGAGTTGTTCCCAAAATCAATCACTAAGAGTATGGACGATGGTTACCAAGTAGACTGTATCTATACAGATTACAGCAAGTGATTCGATAGGATAGTACCATAAAATTTTGTTGCATAAGTTAGCGTTAGCAGGAATACATGGGGAGCATTTGCGGTTGTTTACCTCGTATATTGAAAATAGATCTCAAGCAATTGTTCTAAATGATATTATGTCCATTTATCCATCCTTTGAGGTGTAATTCAAGGATCCCTCTTGGTACCGCTGATCTTCGTAATATTTGTGAAAGATATGAGAAAAAAAAATGTTTCAAACACTCCAAAATACTACTCTATGCGTATGACATGAAAGTGCTAAAAGTTATTAGAAATTTCCAAAGTTACTGCTATCAGTTGAGTTAAATTTACAGGAGTGTTTTCATATGTCGTTTACGAGAAAAAATACCACCATCGATGGCAGGTATCTATTAAGGGATACAGAGATTCACAAGAGAGTGTATAAGGCACACAATCTTGGAGTTAGCCAAGATCATAAACTTATCTATGAAAAGCATATAGATAATATAGTATCTTAAGCGTACAAAGCCTTGAGTTTGCCTGCATAAAGTAAAAGTAACAGCCTATACATGTCCCACTGCTAGGCAAAGGCCTCCTCTATACAGAGGGTATCAGGGCATAGTCCACCACGCGGCCCCACTGCGGATTGGCGGACTTCACATATCTTCGAAATATATATTTTTTTGTTATGATTTCGAAAATATGCAGGTTTCCTCACGATGTTTTCCTTCACCGCGGAGAACGTGATAAGTCAGCACTTAAAGTTAAAAACTTCATTGGTGCCGGCACCGGGGATCGAACTCAGGTTGCTCGAGTATATTGAATTAAAGGCGAGCGCCCGGACACTGAGCTATCACGGCTCCTGCATTGCCTGCATAACTTTTTCAAATACTTTTGGGAATATTGGAATTAAAACAATAGGTAGTCGATTATTACTTCCTTCATTTTTATCCCCTTGTTTGTAATTTGTTTAATTGAATCAGCCAGAATCAATCATAAAAATTGAGTTTCAATTAAATTGGTTTACAAAAAGGGCGATTAAAATTACGCACAATTGTTTCGATGATATTGTATCACGGTGCTTCTCCCGAACACGTTACCGGTATTCGAACAACAATATAATGTCAAATGGATATAAAAGGTGTTCAAACATTTACACGTAGGAGAAATATTTTTTTTAATGCGGCACATGGGTATCTGGATATGGCCTCCTATATATAGCGGTGTTAAGAAAAAACGCAGAAGTATAAAACTTCTACTTTACGTCGGTTTTCTGTGAGGTCGTGGTCCTTAACCGGACGGACCTGCCCAATCGTGCAACAGTGAACACTGTTGTATGGTCCTACCACAGTAAATCCATGGCTTAGGCTTCCATGAACACACACCGTTCTTCCATATATTATGAATAAATCTACGCAAATGCGCGTCGGTCTGGGTGCTTTCTAGGCGTTTATCCTCCCACGCTAAAATAAACCACTTTACGTCACACAATAAGCCCACTCCGTATTGTGAAAGGGGGCTCGTTGCCAACTCAATTCAGTGGGCTCCAGGCTGAAAGCACGCGCCGGAGGCTGTTAATTAACGGTTCTTTATTTTAAAAATAGAATTTTTTTTTTCTCTATAATCAATTTCGGTCTGACTTGCGCCTTTGTTCTCGAGATATTTGATTTTAGATTGGTTTGTTATTAATTAGGTACAACTTTCTTCTATATTACATACTATATAAATAGTAGCAAAAGCGGTGTTATTGGCACTTCAGTCAGTATATGGTGATTTAGTCAAGTGCCGAATCTTCTGGCTAACATTCGGCATTCGACAATGGGAACGGTGTTTACGTTATCACATTAGTAGTGTTTACAGTAACGGTTACTGTTATATATATTGTTAAAATAAGATGTTATTTATGAAGAAAAATCCAATAGTTCGCTACCGACAAAAGCTGAAAAATTAGGGCAATAAATGTGAGATCCTTAATTTAAAATACTTGACTTTCTATTGGTAACTTGAATATGAAAGAAGAATTAACATTTGCTTCGTACCAAAAAAAAAATTCAATCAAAATCGGTACGAAATAAATGTAGACGTATGACAAGTCCACATTTTTGAGGTCGCGGTACTTCCCAGGACGACAGAAATCGTGCCAAAACAAAGACTGCTGCGTGGCCCTGTACACTCAGGGACAGATTTGGAGGTCTGGAGGCCTCGGGGCAACAAAGGAGTGGAGGTCCCTTGCCCGCAAATTATTTTCGTTTGATCTCTGTTAATATTTAATTTAATCATGTTTGTACAAAGTACTGTAGGTAAAAGTAGACCGCGAAAAAAATAGAAAGGTAAAGTTGTTCACTATTGTTTGTCTGAATTTGAATTTTTTTTTTCGAAGTCTATTGTGGGGGCCCCTCGTTTGTTTAGGCCCCGGAGCTGTTGCCCCAGTTGACCTCCCCTAAGTCCGGCCCTGTGTACACTCAGAGGTATCCACCAGGGAAACGGTCAGTTTTAATGTCAATTCTATTTTTCGTACAGAAATCTCAGCATTTTTATGTAAAATCTTAAAAATATCACTTAACATTTTGACTGTTACCACGTGAAAATACATGCATTCTTATTTGACTCTTATTGTATACATTATGGATAGCTTCGCGTAATACTAGATGATTTGATTAGCGGATGATAGGCCTTGGCAAGCTAATAAGTTATTTTATATAAAGATGTGTAAATAATTCCCTCATGTTATTTACACATTCTAATAATTTTTAACTGCCTTTACACGCAATGGTTCAATGTAAGTTGTAATTATTAGAACCTGTTCCGCTAGTCTACTTGCTTTCGTCTACAGGACATCAAGAAGACTAAGAAAAAAAAACTATCATCGGGTGGTCACAATAATCAATTAGAACCGATTAGGGAAAACACAAAAAACCTAGGAAAGAAAAGCACCAGTATGTACATCTCGAGATCTTTAATCGTTTTCTTTTTCAATCACTGTCAATAGAATGTCACAAGCGAGATAATTGTTGATACTAATGATAAGAACGTTCTTAAGTTAAAATAACTTTTAGTTGAGACCGTAAAGCAGTATTCTTTCGCTCGGGAAAATAGCACCCCCTCACAGAAGTTTTACACTTCTCCTTTTCGCCTGGTGAGTAAGGTAAGCAGGGCCTACTTTTTGAAAGATGGCAAAGGCAACGCTTTTGTAACCGTACAATTGCGTTGTTCAATTACCGATAAGCTGCGGTTAGCGGTAAACATCAGGTGAACCGCTAGCTTGCTTGCCATCTTCTTATATTTAATGAACCGAATTGATTTATAATTGATGAACTGAAATAATGAAATGA